CTGCCTGAGCAGGGGGTTGTACTAGATGACCTCCAAGGTCCCTTCCAACTTGATGATGATGATGATGATGATGATGATGATGAATAATTGTAAAAATGGGGGTAATTTTATGTGCCAACTGTCATTTTACAATGTGGTGCAGATAGTCCTTGACTTACAATCATTTGCTTAGCAACCATTTAATGTTACAACGGCACTGGAAAAAGTGACTTATGACTTGGTCCTCAAATTTATATCCATTGCAGCATTCTCACAATCACATGGTAACAATCCAGGAGTTTGGCAACTGGCATGTATTTGTGACAGTTGCAGTGTTCCAAGGTCATGTGATCACCATTTGTAAACTTCTCAGCTGGCTTCTGACAATCAATGAGGGGAAGCCAGACTCGCTTAAAACAACCACACAATTCAATTAACAACTGTGGTAAAAAAAGTCATAAAAAGGGGCACAACTCACTTAATAACTGCCTTGCTTAGCAACAGAAATGTTGTGCTCAATTGTAGTCATATGTCGAGAAAATGTGGATTATATGAGGAAGATCTATAGCGGATTAGTAAATATTTTGATTGTTATTTAATTAATGTCAATGTGGAAAATATTATTTTTAACAATATGATTGCTATTTCCTAGTACATGATTTTATTTTGATGAATGTGATGATTATTATATTCTAATATTTTTATACCTAGACAACACACTGTTCAATACAGAAATGGATTTTTTGATATAACAACAACAACAACAACAACAACAACATAATAATAATAATAATAATAATGATAATTTAAAAAAACTGGTGGGATCATAAAATAGAGAAAGTCATAGAAAATGATAAAATTAAACTGTTCTGGGACTTCAGAATTCAAACAGACAAGCACCTGCAACATAACACCCCAAACTTAACAATTGTCGATAAGAAAGACAAAAAAGTCTGGATAGTGGACGTGGCAGTGCCTGGAGACAGCAGAATAGACGAGAAAGAACTGGAGAAGATAACAAAATACAAAGACCTACAAATAGAAATAGAAAGACTGTGGCAAAAGCAAGGAAGGGTAGTACCAATAGTCATAGGCTCCTTGAGTCCAATCCCAAAACAACTGGAGCACCACTTGAACACCATTGGCATTGACAAATTCACTATTAGTCAATTGCAAAAGGCAGCCTTACTAGGAATTGCTTCCATCCTGCGACGATATGTGTAATACCATCAAACATCCACATCTGCCTATCCCAGGTCCTGGGTAAGGACTCGATAGATAGACAAAATGCCAAATCCAGTCTGAACATCTGGCTGACTGTGCAATGATCCATAATAATAATAATAAAAGTCAAGAACTACTTATAGTTGGTGTATCAATAGTGGCATCCCAGAAGATCCTGGAATCTAAAACAAAAAATATCACTTATTAGGTACTGAAGAATTTAAATGTAAAAATAAAATAAAATAAAATAAAATACCTCCCAGGTAGAGAATGAACTGTAGCTCAAGGACAGGACACATGCTTTGAGTCAGATGGTGCCATATCCAATCTGGGGGAAAAACCTCTCTTTGCCTCAGGCATGGAAAACAGTTGTCAGCAATAAACAATTCTGGATTGGATCAACCAGTGATGTCGTGATGTTTTACTCTCTGCAGCTAGGTTCCCAGTATTTATGCATGCCCTGCCCTCAAAAACACAAATATTTATAATATTTGTATATGCTTTTGAGTATCAACACAATTTAGAATTAACTGCGGTAAATATGATTCTCGCCACAGTCAAGAAGGCTGACCTTTTTTGCTTAATATTTGTTATCCAGATGCTACCTTTAGACCAGGGCTCCCCAACCTTGGCCACTTTAAGACCTGTGGACTTCAACTCCCAGAATTCCCCAGCCAGTCCACAGGTCTTAAAGTGGGCAAGGTTGGGGAGCCCTGCTTTAGACAAACAATTTGTAGATCCTGTGGAACGTACTTGAAAATCCAGTGACATAGTCCGGCCAGTAGGGGGCGCTATACGAACATTAAATTAAAAGGGCCAGACCGTAGTCAAACTCTTTTCCAGTTATTTTAAATATTACAAGGGTTCCCAAAGAGATCCAGAACTTTGGCAATGACTTCTATAAGTCTGAATGCATTTCAGTTGGCAAATGTTGATTAAAGTAACCGCAAATAATTCTTTTTAGAAGTGCTCAAAGTCATAGGAAAATACCAATCTGTGGTTAGGAGAGAAAAGATCTTTACTCTCCCAAGCCTTACTTTCCCATTGCCAAGTATATTTGATCTGTTGGAAGCTGCAACCCAGTCTTCTAACTTTTTGAAGGACCAGAGGAAGCTATCTGATGATGCTGTGACATTATTGTGAAAGGCACCGGTCACAGTCTTCTGGTGATTGGCACAAAATCACCTAGCCAGTTTTCATGTCCAAAGCAGAACTGGAACTCACAGTCTTCTGGTTTCTAGGTTGATGTGGCTTTTATGCATGTAAGTTGAACTCTTACTTTGTTCAACAACAGCATTTATGAAAAGAATCTCAACAAGTCAAACATATTTTCAGAATGAAGGGTCCTTGGTGCTCTCTGAACTTGCTTGTTTTCTTGCAGATGTTTCATTACCCAAACTAGGTAACATCATCAGCACTAGTGCTAGTGCTAGCACTGGCGATGTTACCTAGTTTGGATAATGAAACGTCTGCAAGAAAGCAAGAAAGCTTAGAGAGCACCAAGGACCCCTCGTGTCAACCCTGAGCTACAAATATTCTCCTTTATTAATATTTCCAGGGTACTTCAGCAAAAATACATAATTTCCAAATATTGGGGACAAATAGTTCTGCTCTATTCTGGTCTGGTCAGATTCTTCCTCAAAGGCTGCATCATATTCTGGGCTCCACAATTTCAGAAGATGTGGTCAAACCAGAACAGGTTCGTAGAAGCGCAAGAAGTATGATCATGGATCCCAAACCATGTCCTGTGAGAAGAGATCAACATTGCTGGGAGTGCTCAGCCCTGAGAAGGAGAAACTGAGGGGGAACCTGATAGCATGCTTTAAATATCCATGAGATGTCCTAATGAAATGTATGAGCCCTTTTCTGCCATGCAGGGTACAGAACACAGTATAAAACGGGAGTAAATTCCATTTGAAGAACAGCAAAAGCAGTTTGACAGTGGAGCCGCTTGCCTAGAAGGGGATATCTTCAAACAGCCTTTTGTCATGGATGCTTTAATATGGACTCCAACGCAGGCCAGGGAGTTGGACTCAGTGGCTGAGGCGGCGTTTTCTGCTTCGTGGTTTAGAAAGTGTGGAACTTTTAGAAAGCATAGAACAGGGGTCTTCAAACTTGGCCCTTTTATGACTTGTGGACTTCAACTCCCAGAATTCCTCAGCCAGCTTTGCTGGCTGAGGAATTCTGGGAGTTGAAGTCCACAAGTCATAAAAGGGCCAAGTTTGAAGACCCCTGGTGTAGAAGTTTAGCATTCTCTCTCCAGCAATCCTTCTCCATCTTTCAAGATCCTACAATTACTTTCCTTCACATTAGTAGTGATGGTGACTGCTTCCTACCAGTGTCAAATATCCATAACCTTCTCAGCAGGCAGGTAAACTGCCCTACAATAAGCATATCCATTACTCACCAATTCACATCACTATCAAAGACATGATAGGTTTAGCCTGAATACTAGTGGTCTGTTTGTTCTCTTCAGAATAGATCCCTTTCTAAGAGATCCTTTTTCCTCCTCCTTGGACTAACTAACAAGAAGCCTTTTCACTTTGGGTAGGATGTTGTTATTTACGTCCAGAAGATCATTTTGAAACCAGCCTCTGGATCTCTCTGAGTTTTAATAAGTTGCTTTTAAAGAAAACATGGTTTATGAGCCACAGTGCCTTGGATTCACTTGCTTTACTTAGATCAAAATATTGTTTTTTTTCAATTTTAGCTTTCATCACTATGGAGACAGCTAAAACTTTTTGCCAGTGCCCCTTCCTCCATCCCTGAGAGTAAAAATACAGCAATAAAAAATAAATACACTTTTCCCCTTTTGAATGTTGTGATTGTAATTCAGAAGCGAATCCTTGAACAACCGTTTGTCTGAAAGGGTACAAATAGTCCTCAACTTACGACAGTCCATGTAGTGACCGTTCGAACAGCAATGAAAAATGTGACTTGTGATCACTTTTCACACTTATGACTATTACAGCATCCCCATGGTCACGTGATCAAAATTCAGACGCTTGGCAACTGACTCATATTTATGACGGTTGCAGTGTTTTGGTGTCATGTGATCACCTTTTGCAACCTTCTAACAAGCAAAGTCAATGGGGAAGCCAGATTCACTTAACAACTATGTTACTAACCGAAGAGCTGCATTGATTCACTTAACAACGATGGTAAGCAAAGTCATAACATGGGATAAAACACACTTAACAAATGCCTCATTTAGCAACAGAAGTTTTGGGTTCAATTGTGGTCGTAAGTCGAGGACTACCTGTGTAGGGTTTCCTGCCTGAGGACGGGGTTGGATTAGACGTCCTCCAAGGTCCCTTCCAGGTCTGTTATTCTATTATTCCTGAGACTGTCGCCATTAAGAAGCATTGGCCCTGCCTTGTGCATAATTATTTCTGCCTTCTGTCATTATCCCCACAGGGCAAAACAGCCTCCTTGTTTTATACGAAAGAAAGAGCAGCAGCGTCTCCTTGATTGGCTAATGTTTTCTTCGGAAAGGATCCAACACCTGTTGCTGTATATTACAGCTGTGTAGATTGAAGAGGGAGAAGGAGAAGGCAACTAATCCAGGCGACAAGTGGAAGACCAGACTGTGTGATTTGAACCCTGGTATGCGGCGGACGAGCATCTGCATCTAATATTGGGGGGTCCTGGCTTTAAAAGGGTACATCTACCGATGCATGTGGGTTTTAACAAAAAGTTCAGAGCCACAACTGCTGATGACCATGTGGGTCTGCATGCTGGGTTCTGCGGTCCCCGGGGCTGACGGAGCAACATTCGGCTGTAGTCCAATTCGGCTGCTTTGCATGGTTTTGCCTGGATAGGAAAGGAAACTATTTTTGGATGACTCTTTGATGTTGAGTCAGCAGCAGCCGCTGAAAAGCCCCAGTTCAGCTCCCTGGGAGCTGCCCTTTGCTGGTTTATGCAAGAAATTAAAATACAGAAATGAAGGTGGAAAGGTATTTTCTTTTATTACTGAAATATACTAACCGTAGGTGTTAGTGGGCTTTCCCTTGCTAAATAAAAATGAACAGCAGGTGGAAAGTTCAGGAGGGGATGTGGGGGGGGGGGAAATCTGCCTGTTTGCAAGCCAGTTAATGGATTTATAGAAAGCGCAGTGGTATTTTATTCTTATTTAGTAGCAAAAGGCTATTGTTATTATGGAATGTGCATGGACTTGTGTGTAGCCGGGAGTCTTGCTGGGATGCTGTATATCTTTCTATAGAGATCCATTGTCCACAAAGACTGTGCAAATCTCCTGAAAGCAATTTGTTGCATAGACGAAGTGCCTGCACAGCCTCACTTTTTGAGTCAAAGCAGCATCTTTTTTTTTTTTCCCCTAGGCTCACATAGCTGCTTCCTAAGTGTAAATTACAACCAATTGTAGCTCGGTTGTAGGGAAGTGTCCCTGCAAAGAGAGCTTCTCTCTGACAAAGCTGCCATATAAAGCTGGTTTCAACTGATTTGAAAAGAGGTCCCTCTGTTAATTTCCAAACTCCTATTGTCCACCCTATAGGATTCTCATCTGTGGCTGTGTGACATTCCTGTTCCCAGAAACTGAACTGCATAGAGTCCCTCGCAGCTGAAATATGTATTTGAGTCATTGTGCTGACAGTATAGCAGTGTGTAGCTGTATATGCATTGCAATTCTTACATGGTGGGCAGGTCTTAGACCAAACTTGGCCCTTTTATGACTTGTGGACTTCAACTCCCATAATTCCTCAGCCAGCATGCCTGGCTAAGGAATTCTGGGAGTTGAAGTCCACAAGTCATAAAAGGGCCAAGTTTGAAGACTTAGACAGTATGTGTAAGAAGGACCTTAGTTGAGGAGAGGATCAGCAGGACTCAGTCGTACTCATCACTGATTGGTCGGCTAAGAACCAGTTAAGAACCGCAAGGATGGTTAGACATAGACCTTCTTCTTTGTCTTCTACTCTGTAAGACAAATGTCCTGCTGAGGTGAGCTTGAACTTCCCTCTCCCCAATTTCCAGCCCTAATCCTCCAAAGAAGACCTACTTACTAATTTGTTGATGCTGCCAACAAATCATCATTCCAGGGCATTATCGAAGCGTTAACAAGCAATTAGCTCTTGTCCCTAGGAATCCTCAAAGCATTACTCTGTGCTGATAGTCGATAAGCTCACCCAGATCCAAGAGAAACCTCTGTCAAACTTGAAACTCACTCTCTTTCTTCTCCGTGATACTCCGTTCTGTCTGCTTCTGCAATCATAGGGTCACTAACTTGGTGTATCTGTGGTTATAGTAAATGTATTATGGTTTGCTAGAAGTCTCCTTTGAAACAATGGTGGGATTCAAATATGTGAACAACTGGTTCTCTGTGTGGATGCCGCTTCTGGAAGTCTGTTTTGGGCCTGGGCAACAAAAAATTAGCTACCGGTTCTGCCAAACTAGTGGGAACCGGCTGAATCCCACCACTGCTCAGAAAGCCTGTCAATCAAAAGAACGGAGGTATTTTCATTAGCTGTTTCTTCATTCTGGAACCACCCCACGTTAGAGGTTTGCCAAAGTTGTTGCTTGGGCATGTATAAAGCACCATCTTGCCTTTTTAAAAAAAAAGATGTTTTGCTCTAAGTTTTTATTTAGAACATTTGCCGAATCCTGCGTTTTGTTTCGGTAACTACATAATGTATTTTTTAATGTATTTTTTTCCTCAACACAGTCTCTGGAATGGAGGAGAGAAAAGTTATCTATTTTGTTAATTTAATGCTAATTAATCTGAAGGATGTATATCCCATCTTTCAATCGGAATTTTCAGAATGGCTTGGAAAGTGTTTCAAAGATATTGTAGCAGATTAGAAGCTTGTAAAATTGAAAGAAGTGCCCGAACATTCTTTTTTTTAAAAAAATGACACCCAAATAAAGCAGATAAACATTAATTAAAAGGACTGGAAAATGTAGATATGTAGATATGTGACAAATAAATGTAGATAGCTATATCAATTTACTATAGGATGACGCCTCTTCACTGAAGTTGATCAACTATGATCTATCATTCTTATCTAGGGTGGATTGATGGACAGATGCTTTTTGACTTCAGAATATAGAGCTGAGAAAGAGTAACTGTCTCAAAGTCAGCAAGCCAGTATTCATGACTCAGGACTAAAACTTGGGCCTCGCTGTTTCTAGTCCATCTCTGTAACCAGTACACTCACATTGGCTTTTACAAAATATGTGGATGTGGGGGTGTTGACTTATTTTTCAAATTAAATTGAAATTTAATTATATTTGTATTTTAGTTACTTCTGTAAGTTGAGTTTCTAGTTTAGAAGGACCTCAGATAGTAGAACAGAAATGATTTTTCCTTGATACTCTAGAAAACTGCAGAGAATCACAAAAGAACTGGGCAGACCACTAATTGTATAAAACAGTTGTATTTTGGGTAATTAACCACTGGAAGTCAGCTTTTCTGACTTCCAGTGGTTAATTAGAGAGAAAAGAGAAAGAAAGAAAGAAAGAAAGAAAGAAAGAAAGAAAGAAAGAAAGAAAGAAAGAAAGAAAGAAAGAAAGAAAGAAGGAAAAAAAGAAAGAAAGAAGGGGGAGGGAGGGAGGGAGGGAGGGAGGGAGGGAGGAAGGACGGAAGGAAGGAAGACTAGTGTGCAAGCTCAGTTGTGTTACTATATAGCAGTGATGGCGAACCTTTTAGAGACCGAGTGCCCAAACTGTAACCCCAAACCCACTTATGCATCGTCGGATGCCGGGTGGGTGTGCCCATTGGGTGGGTGTGGCCCATTGGGTGGGCGTGGCTGCAGTGGTAACGGTAGACTGGGTGGAACTAAAAAGTTCAATCAATCAATTCCAACTTTGGAAGATTTTTTTTCCCCGTGAGAAGTTGAAATTGACTGATTGATTGAACCCCCCCTTTTTTTTTGCACATGGCGGCGGAGGCCTAAAGTGAAAAGGTTTTATAAAACCCAGCTGAAGGCCTAGGACTGAGGCGACAGCACACGTGCCCACAGAGAGGGCTCTGAGTGCCGCCTCTGGCACCCGTGCCATAGGTTCGCTACCACTGCTATATAGTCTCTTCTTAGCAGCAGATTCTTTAGGAAAAACCTTTCTGACTCATTTTGCGATTGTCTGCAGGCAAAACATGTGCTATACCACTATCTGTGAGTTCTCCCCAAAATTAAAAACATATCATATGTTGAAGCAGCTTATCAACAACTAGCTAGCTGACAGCTGCTTTCTGATATTGTTTTCAACTCTGATACTTCCTTTCACTGGAAAAGAATGTGGGACTTTCTGCACATCAAGTCTGCATTTTGGGCCAAAACTATAGCTCTGTGTACAATTTACTAAGGATTTCTCACCCAACTAGTAACTATCTGCATGGAGAAATTGCTTCCTCCCCCTTCTTTTTCTCAATTCCAACTCTTCTCCTTCTGCATCTTCCTCATGACTAGCTGGAGATGTACCTGAGCCCAGTAAAAATTAAACAAATTACATTTTAATTTTGTGGGACCATAACCCATACCCAGTGGTGGGATTCAAATATGCAAACAACCGGTTCTCTGTGTGGATGCCGCACAGAGAAGAACGAGGGGGGACATGATAGCAGTCTTCCAGTATCTCAGGGGCTGCCACAAAGAAGAGGGAGTCAAGCTATTTTCCAAAGTGCCTGAAGGCAGGATGAGAAGCAACGGATGAAAACTAATCAAGGAGAGAAGCAACCTAGAACTAAGGAGAAACTTCCTGACAGTTAGAACAATTAACCAGTGGAACAACCTGCCTCCAGAAGCGGTGAATGCTCCAACACTGGAAGTTTTAAAGAAGAGACTGGACAGCCATCTGTCCGAAATGGTGTAGAGTTTCCTCCCTGAGCAGGGGGTTGGACTCGATGATCTACAAGGTCCCTTTCAACATTATATTATTATTATTATTATTATTATTATTATTATTATTATTATTATTATTATTATTATTATTATTAAAGTCCATTCTGTGCCTGGGCAACAAAAAATTGGCTACCAGTTCTACCGAAGTGGTGCAAACCGGCTGAATCCCATCACCCTCCCCCCACCCCTTCTACCCTTGATATGTGTGCATAGATGCACTGGAAAACTTGAAGCCCAGAAAGATCCTAGAACAGTGGTTCTCAACCTTTCTAATGCCGTGACCCCATAATACAGTTCCCCATGTTGTGGTGACCCCCAACCACTTATACATCACCGGGTGCCAGGGGCGTGGCCAAAGAAAAGGGGGGGGGGAAATGGTGGACAGCCTTGTTTGGCGACCCCCATGAAATGGTCGTTCGACCCCAAATGGGGTCCTGACCCTCAGGTTGAGAACCACTGTCCTAGAAGCTTGATCAAGAAAACAACATGATTTAGTTTCCTATTTGATGTTTGCAAATATGTCAAGACATGCTAAACATTGTTTTTCACTGTAGTAGCTCTATTTGAGATCTAGTTTTCAAATCATTAGTTAAAGCTTAACACAGTTAAACATTTACCCACACTGTTAGGTCAAGATGGTTAAACATCCACACATCCTGCTGCTCCTTTCCTTTCTACCTGCCAATAGTTCTATTGGATTTGTGTTCTACCTGTGCTATTTTCCAATTGCTTCCCTTAGGGCAAATTATTTCAAGTCTCCACAATGAGAGCAATTGTCATTCCTAATAGAGAAACAGAGCAGAATTACCAATATACAGAACAGGTGCATTACTCGGATTTTCTAGTGTTCTGACCGTGTCTATTTCCAGCCAGTGTAATTCTGTAGTCTTCGCATCAGATATGGCAGATATGATCGGAGATATTCTAATCACACAAACTCAACAGCTCTTTCCTAATACTAGCATAGCAAGCATTTAGTCTTAGATACGTCCTTATATATGGAGAGTCCCATTTACAGCACTCTATGGGCAGTTTACAATGTAAGTATGATTTGCATATTTACAATGTAAGTATGATTTGCATATTGCCCCCAACAATCTGGATCCTCATTTTAAAGACCTTGGAAGGATCGAACTCTTGACTGTGGGCAGAGTTTGCCTGCAATACTGGACTTTTATCACTGTGCCACAGTGGTTAAAGTGCAGTATTGCAGGTAATCGCTGGGCTTGTAAATTGGACTCTAACACTGAAATCCAACAGCTCTAATGTAATTGGTCTTACCTTTAAGTGTGTCATGCCCAATTTTACAACTTTTTTTGCAATGGTTGTTAAGGCAACCGCTTCCATTGTTAAGTGAATCACGTGGTCATTAAGCGAATACAGATTCCCCCATTGACTTTGCTTGTCGGAAGCCAGCATAGAAGGTTGCAAATGGTGATCACATGACCTCAGCATGCTGCAAACATTGTAAATATGTGCCAGTTGCCAAGCGTCCCAATTTTGATCATAGAACCACGGGGATGCTGTGACAGTCGTAAGTATGAGGACTGGTCAAAAACTACTTTTTACAATGCTGTTGTAACTCTGAACCGTCTCTAAACAAATAGTCATAAGTCAAGGACTGCCTGTAATGAAAGATGTTTCTTTCAGTCTTCTATTTTGGTGAGTTAAGGTCATTTCTAGTTAATGCATAAATGCAGCAAAATTCCCAGCTCTCTAAAGTGCAAGTTGCATTAATGATTCACTTCTAATCATCCTGTGGACGGCAGGTAAATATAGTAATTTATTTGTGGCTCCGGGGTTCTGAGTGATTAGAAAAAATCGTCAGTCCTTGTTACAGAAACTCAGCCGTATCTCTAAAGTTTGCATTCTCTGAACTCATGCAGAGAGGCATAAATTCCTTAATAGAGAAGAGTGAAATGCATGTCTAGTTTGAATGTGTAGGGAAAGTGGAGTTTTCTTTCAGCTGTTGGGACTAGGGAAATACACGCCTCAGTTCCCCTGGATAGACTCTGCTTTAGTATGGAGTACATGCTTGTATATTTACATTGTATGGACAATCATGGCCAGACTTCCTTGTTTATGTTTTTTTTTAAAGAAACTGCAGGACTAAATTAATCTTTAACTAAGAAATGTGGTTCCTCAGCTTACCCAAAGTTTTAATATATTATTTTTATACTAGAACCTTCCCAGATGCATTTTTTTTTAGAACCCAGGGATATTTGCAGTTTTACATTGGATGGCAGGACCTTAGCAAATGAGAGTGACATGGTCCTGGGGAGGGGTCCTCTTGAGAACTTGGGTCACTGCCTATCCTGGTGTAGTTGCAAATTCGGAACTTATTTTCTAGTCTTGAGGAAAGTACAAAAACTAATAATAATGGAAAACTAGCTTGGTCTAGTGCAGGGGTAGGCAACCTTGGCTCTTTTATGACTTGTGGACTTCAACTCCACAATGCTGGTTCAGGAATTCTGGGAGTTGAAGTCCACAAGTCATAAAAGAGCCAAGGCTGCCTACCCCTGGTCTAGTGATTAAGACACCAAGAGATTGTAATTCTAGTCCGCACCTTAAGGCGTGAAAGCTCGCTGGGTGACTATGGGCCGATTACCAGGAAACCAAGTTCTTGTCCGTCTCAGGCATGAAAGCTGGCTGAGTACTTTTGGACCAATCAAGAGAAGGCAATGAGTTCTAGTCCCGCCTTAGGCACTTTGGGCTAATCACTCACTCTCTCTCAGCCCAACCCACCTCACAGGATGGTTGTTGTGGGTAAAATAGGAAAGGGGGGCTAATGTATTTGGTATGTTCACCACCTTGAGTTATTTATAAAAATAATAAAGGTGGGATTTAAAAAAATATATATTGAAGAGCCATTCAGATTCTCCTATATTGCATAGCTTAAATGTTGAAAAAAACAGCCTCGTCTTTACTAAACTGTGCTTGGCTGATTAATGTTTTGACAGAGCGCCAAATCAGAACGGCATTTCCCAGACTGGAAGCGGGCCAGCATACTAGATTTCATATCCCTATTCTTAGAAAACTTTTGCGGAGGCTTTAAGGATGACTGTGCAGGAGATGCTTGGGTTTTATGTATCCAAGTGTGAATGAAGCATATCTAGTGAGGGAAGCTCAATTGCTATTTAAAAACTTGAGAAAGTTCTTCTCCAAAGCCTTTCTGTTCTTTTCCAAGGGAATTCTAACTTTTGAATAAAGACATAGAGAAATGGGAGAAAAAGGAAAAGGTCAAGGCCCAAAGTTTATTCCGTGTTCCTTTTAAAAAATTAACGTGGGAAGTTGCAAAAATGTCCCAAAGATGCTTTTTCAAGAGGCAACTGGACTTTCTTGTTTTTCTTTGAAGACATTTCACTTCTCATCCAAGAAGCTTCTTCAGCTCTTGGGTGAGAAGCAAAACATCTTTAAAGAAAAACAAGAAAGTCCAGTTGCCTCTTGAAAAAGCACCATAGAGAACTTGCAAAAATGGACAGCAGCAAGTTGGAAAATAATGTCTGCTCAAAAACCAACTTGCTTTGGTCTATTTCTACCCTATCAATGATATTTTTGACTTTTAGCTCCCAATCAAGACTTCAGCTAATTAGATTAGCTATATAAATTGAATTCAATAAATAAATAAATTCTAGCCATCTTGCTTCTGTTTATGCAGTTCCCTCATCTATGGTAGACTTTCCATTCCCATCCTTCTCCTCCTCCTCCTAGTGTTTTCCCGCAGGTCCAGGCTCTGCTTTTCAGGCCAACAAGCACCATCTTGCATGTTCAAACTCAGCATCTGGATCCAACTGGGCATTTTTCATGTCCACATTTATTCTCTCTTGACATCTTTGCTTTGGCTTCCACACAGGTGCTTGCCATCTATATGGAAGGCAAGATAGGTTACGTTGTAGGTGCTGATTGTAGAACATAGTTATACCACTGTAGGCTTTTCTCCCGCATTTTCTCTGATATTGGCACAGTGCCCATTTGCTTCTGAATTGTGTCATTGCTGACACAGTCAAGGAAAGAAACACCTAACGAAGCAGACATATTTCCATGGCATGTAAAGAGCACTCAGCACTCAATCACATTTGGTGATTGCCTAGCACTCAGCACCATCTAGAGCTGCTGGACACACCCATCTCCATTCCCAAAGTCTTAAAAATCAATGTTGTGTTGCTGCTAGCGTCCCCTGGATAGTAGGAAAAATTGAAGTGTTCAAGACATCCAATTTATGACTGTACCTCGTCTCTGGATTTATTTATTTTTAAGATGCACAAAACTGTGTAGAGTTGGCCTTAAAATGCCAACTAAATAGATCTCAATAGTACTAAATGGCCTGAGTGTTATTTTTCCATCTGCTTAGCCAGAATACCAAGGGGGCGATATGGCCACAGGTCCTAGTGAGCAGTTGGAACAAAGTGAAGAACGCCCAGATTTTGTGAAAGAGTTTCTCACCCAGAAGGAAGGCATTCAGAACCATCTGAAAGAAGACAATAAAAAAGGTAGGACTGCGTTCACATGTAATTTGAGCTTTGTGTTGTTGTTTTATCATGCCTGCTAGGGAAAACTTTACTTCTCAAATGTATTTAGTTAGGCCCGGCAGATTTTTCAGACAGTGGTAGCCCTTGACTTAGACCATTGGGATCAGAATTTCTGTTGCTAAACAAAGTGGTTCTTAAGTGACTTGTGCCAAATTTTTATGGTCGTTAAGTGAATCACTGTAAATGTTAAGTGAATCATCTGGTTGTTGAGCAAATCTAGCTTCTCCCATTGACTTTGTCGGAGGGGCTGTCACAGAAACGAGAGGGTTGACTTCTTTTCCAAAGCACCTGAGGGCAGAACAAAAAGTAATGGTTAGAAAGTGATCAAGGCGAGATCCAACCTAGGAAACATTTCCTGCCAGTTAGAACAATTCGTTAGTGGCATGGCTTGCCTTTGGAGATCATGGGCGCTCCATCACTGGAGGTTTTTAAGAAGAGACTGGACAGGCATTTGTCCAGAATGGTATACGTTCTCCTGTTTGGGCAGGGGGTTGGACTAGAAGACCTTCAAGGTCCCTTCCAATGCTATGATTCTAAGTTGTAAGATCTCAAAGGGCATGAAAAATGGCTTCTTCATGTTTCCATGAAGGAAAGCAATACAATTTGCTCTGAGCTCACAAAGGAAAAGTGAAATATGGAATGGAATGGAATGGAATAGAATAGAATAGAATAGAATAGAATAGAATAGAATAGAATAGAATAGAATAGAATAGAATAGAATAGAATAGAATATATGGAGTGGAGTGGTGTGGTGTGGTGTGGTGTAGAGTGGAGTGGAATGGAATGGAATGGAATGGAATAGAATAGAATAGAATAGAATAGAATAGAATAGAATAGAATAGAATAGAATAGAATAGAATATATGGAGTGGAGTGGAGCGGTGTGGAGCGGTGTGGAGTAGAGTAGAAAAGAGCAGAGCAGAGCAGAGCAGAGCAGAGCAGAACAGAACAGAACAGAACAGAATAGAATAGAATAGAATAGAATAGAAAATATGGAATGGAGTGGAGTGGAGTGGAGAGTGGAGTAGAGTAGAGTAGAGTAGAGTAAATAGAATAGAATAGAATAGAATAGAATAGAATAGAATAGAATAGAATAGAATAGAATTCTTTATTGGCCAAGTGTGGTTGGACATACAAGGAATTTGTCTCCAGTGCGTAAGCTCTCAGTGTACATACAAGTAATAGTAATAGTCATGATCACAAACAACATGAAAATACATTCAGCATAAATCATAAAATACAAAACTTCATCATAAATCATAAGATGCAACACTTAATGATAGTGATAAAATACTAGCTAAGCAAACAACATAAACCATATTAGGATATTAAAAACAATATAAATTGCAAGATACACGCAACAAGGTTATAGACGTAAGATGATAGGTAATAGAAAAGATGAGGAATATCATAGTACTGTAATGCAGCCTTACTAAGTAGTTTGACAGTGTTTTAGGAATTAGTTGTTAAGCAGAATGAGGGCATGGGAAGAAAAACTGTCCTTATGTCTAATTGTTCTGGTGTGCAATGCCCTATAGCATCCTCTTGAGGGAAGAAGTTGAAATAGTTTATGTCCAGGGGTCTGTAGATATTTTCACAGCCCTTTTTCTGACTTGTGAAGTATACAGGTTCTTAATTAACCAGCAGAACAACCTGCCTCCAGAAGCGGTGAATGCTCTAACACTGGAAGTTTTTAAGAAGAGACTGGATAACCATTTGTCCGAAATGGTGTAGAGTTTCCTGCCTGAGCAGGGGGTTGGACTCAATGACCTCCAAGGTCCCTTCCAACTTTATTATTATTATTATTATTATTGTTGTTGTTGTTGTTGTTGTTGTTATTGGAAGAAAGGCTGGTAGCAATTGTTTTTTAGGCAGTTCTAGCTATTCATTGAAGTCTGTGTCTGTCTTGTTTGGTTGCACTTCCAAACCAGACAGTTATAGAGGTGCAAACGACAGACTCAATATTTCCTTTGTAGAACTGTATCAGTTCTATAAGGACAATAAACACAGTAAATGAAAACCATGAATAAATGTAGGATGGGTGTGTTTTAACAGATGCCAAGATACCTGCAAGTCAAGAAGAAGTGAACGGCAGCACAAACGTAAGTAGCCCACCATTGAGGCATGTTTTAAAAGTTGCTTCATGAGACATGTCGGTCTCTAGGCCTGGAGGTATCTCTCCAGGTCTTAAAGAATCTGAACCAGAAATGTTTGCTTCCAACATCTGATATTTGCCTCCAGAGTGAATGATTATTGCAGCATTTTTGTGATGGGCAACTAACCCTATCCAAATAAAACAGTTGGGACATAGTATGACGATAAGAGAATTTTACCTCTTGCTAAGACATAGGACTTAATTGGTATCCTTCCCAAGCATTTCTAAGCTACCAGGTTTTTTTCATTATTTATAATTATTTTATTATTTACAGTTATTTGCTACCCATCTCATTATTGAGTGACTCTGGTTTTTTTTTTGCACTCCTGGATAGCACAAGCTGATCATTTGCATTTGATTCAGAGCCTTCTCCCTAAACGTCTGAAAAAGACAGGAACAATTGTCAATTGGTCCAAATATTGTTGCCAAGTCAACTTCTAAATCTCCAGGCCAGCTGAGGACAAGCAGTCCTGCCGAGCTGAGTGATGATGGACACATACTGACCAGCCGCAGTCATTTGACCAAGTCATTTGCAACTTTGTCTTTCTTCTTGTACTGCTTCTAGAAATCTTGAAAATGCCCTTCTTTGTCTCTTTTTAAAATGTTACTGGGTGTATCTTTATGACCATCTAAAGCTTTTTCTAAAGCAGGGCTTCTCAACCTTGGCAACTTTAAGACTTGTGGACTTCAACTCCCAGAATTCCTCAGCCAGCAAAGCTGGCTGAGGAATTCTGGGAGTTGAAGTCCACAAGTCTTAAAGTTGCCAAGGTTGAGAAGCCCTGTTCTAAAGGTACTTGCCGTAGGAAGTTTGGGAGAGAACCACTCGTCCAATATTGAAAACTCAAATAGACAGGAAACCTCATGAATAGAATAAGAAGGTCATCTAGTCCAACCCCCCACCCCACCCAAGCAGGAGACCCTACACCATTTCTGACAGATGGCAGTACAGTCTCTTCTTGAAAGCTTCCAATGATGAAACTCCCACATGAGATGCAAATGTATGTGGGTTTTTTCCCCCAAATTTGCTATAACAAATTAGGTAATGAAGAGTAAGCTGTCCTGGTGCATTTTACTTGGTGACCCAGATGTCAGTTTTCTTCAAAATGAAGAAAAGTGAAACATTTAGAGTTGAGTTAAACACAGGAATTTAACAGAGTATAACAGTCAGTGTAACAGGAGCAGATAGTAACTTCCTTGACCTGACTTTAAATAGTGAATTTGGTGGTGGTCACAACCCCATACATTTCAATTCTTACATGCTTGGCCAGCCTTTTGTATACCCCACACCCCTAGAATGCTTCTGATATATTCTCCCACCCCTTACAAAAGTTCGAAATAATGGCAATGAATTATGCATATACACTATAATTTTGAAAACCCAAGTTTTTGCAACCCTTGGACTATCGTCTCGCACCTCCGGTTGGGAACCCCTGTGCTAGGCAGTCAAAATAGAGGAGAACTCACAATGCAAAAAATTTTATCTGAGATAGAAAAGTAGCCAAGGACACTGGAATTCCAGCGAAGCAGATCCATGAACAAACTCACATAAAAAGAAACTTATTGTCTAACCCATAATATACAAAGAAAACCTGTTCCTTGGCTCCTTGAATTTGAAAATGCTTAACAAAAGCTTGACCTCTCTGAGTCTCTCGTGTAAGATTGCTTTGTTCTGTAATAGTAATTTTGTTGTTGTTAATTGCGAAGTCGTGTCCGACCCATTGCGACCCCATTCCTCCAGGTCTTCCTGTCCCCTACCATCTTCTGGAGTCCATTTAAGCTCACGCCTCCTCTTCAGTGACTCCATCCAGCCATCTCATTCTCTGTCATCCCATTCTTCTATTGCCCTCAATCTTTCCCAGCATTAGGCCCTTCTCCAGTGAGTCCTTCCTTCCTTCTCATTAGGTGAGAATAATACTACATAAGAATAATAATAATACATAGCATTAATAAATGCTACCCTGTGTACCCGTTAAAGTAAATCTCTATTATTTTCCTGTACTGAACTGGATTGTGAGATAACAGTGTCCAACTCTGTTATTCAGTTATTCAGTATCAACCACATGTCAAAATATGATTGTCTAGTACAGGGGTAAGCAACCTTGGCTCTTTTATGACTCATGAACTTCAACTCCCAGAATTCCTCAGCCAGGTATGCTGGCTGAGGAATTCTGGGGGTTGAAGTTCACAAATCATAAAAGGGCCAGGTTTGAAGACCCTTGTTCTACACTTTCTAAAAGTTCCACACTTTCTAAACCATGAAGCAGAAAACGCTATCTCAGCCATTGAGTCCAACTCCCTGCCCTGCGTTGAAGTCCATATTAAAGCACCCATGATAGAAGGCTGTTTGAACATATCCCCTTCTAGGCAACTGGCTCCACTGTCAAACTGCTTTAATAGTAATAATAATAATAATAATAATAATAGTAATGACGACGACGACGGTGATGATGATGATGATGGCTGGCTAAGGAATTCTGGGAATTGAAGTCCACGAGTCATAAAAGAGCCAAGGTTGCCTACCCCTGCCCTAGTAGTTTATGACTCAGTAAGATATGCAAACCCAGCCACTCTATGGTTAGTTTATGGTTCAGTGGGTGGAGTTGATAGGGATTTATCCAAAACATGAGATAATACATGATGTTGTTGTTGTTGTTGTTAGCTGCGAAGTTGTCTCCAACCTATCGCAACCCCATGGACAATGTTCCTCCAGGTCTTCCTGTCCTCTACCATCTTCTGTAGTCCATTTAAGCTCACGCCTACTGCTTCAGTGATTCCATCCAGCCACCTCATTCTCTGTCGTCCCTTTCTTCTATTGCCCTCCATCTTTCTAATACGTGATACAGCAATTATTTTGTGAAAGAGTCTGAGGAGCTATGGGAAGAGATAAGAGACCGTGAAAATGGAAATAATTCCCATAATTTCAGAATGGAAAAAAAATCCAAATAGCCTTTGAACAAAGTATTATGAAAGACAAAGGAAGGCGGAAGGATATACAACAACTGAAAATAGATTTCCAGTCTTGGCTGAAACAGGCCCATCAAATATGTTTATAAATAAAGAAAAAAATAACAAGAATAGGAAAATATGACATGTTTTTAAAGAGATCAGAGAAATTATTAAAAAAAATTACCGGCTAAGGCAGGGCTGCTCAAAACTAGTAAGATCACCGTTACCTTTCTCTTTCAGGGTCTAAAGGAGGAACAGAAAAACAAGCTCCACATTGTTGAGAAAGATCTCGATGAATTTGTGGATAGCCTGACCGAAGTCCCAACATCTGGGCTTCCTAAGAAACCACCAGACGAAGAGAAGCATCTGGTGACTGAAATGGCTGCTGCAAAACTGCCTCGGGCCGAGCAAGTTGCAGAAAAAGTCCTGAGGGCTGAAAGGGTGGTTGAGAGAGCCCAACGAGTAGAAAAACCACCAGTACTGGAAAAGGTGGCAGAGAAAGTGCCAAGGGTTGAAAAGGCACCCCAAGTGGAGAAGACGGTACGGGCAGAAAGGACAGCTGAGAAACCACACCTAACAGGTAGGACGTTTTTCTGAGCCAATAAAGCATTATGTTGGATGTGCCATGAAGATTCCATGGGCAAGAGAATGAGAATGCTTAACCCTGGGAGGTTTTTTTTTTTGTATGGTGGGACTTCCATCTCATTTTTGGTTTAGAGCAGTTTTTCCAGATCTGGACAACTTGCAGACATGGGGAAAGTCCCAGAATTCTTAGCTTTACTGGGGAAGATTGATTTGTAGGAGACGATTAGTAGGGACAAAGATGATGATAGAAGGTTTATAAAATGATATGTGATAGGGGGGACAGATATCTCTCTCTCTCTCTCTCTCTCTCTCTCTCTCTCTCTCTCTCTCTGTCTTGTTCTCTCTCATCTAATTAACCAGTGGAATGGCATACCATCACTGGAGATTTTTAAGAAGAGATTAGGCAGCAATTTGTCCAGAACAGATAGTCTTTGACTTACAACAGTTTCTTTAGTGACCATTTGAAGTTACAACAGCATTTTTAAAAATGACTTTTGACCGTTTTTCATATTGATGACCATTGCAGCATCCCCATGGTCACATGATCAAAATTCATACACTTGGCAACTGACTCATGTTTATGAAGGTTGCCGTGTCCCAGGGTTATGTTATCCCCTTTTGCAACCTTCTAACAAGCAAAGTCAGTGGGGAAGCCAGATTCATTTAACAACCATGTTACTGACTTAACAACTGCAGTGATTCACTTAACAATTGTGGCCAGAAAGGTTGTAACACGGGGTAAAACTCAGTTAACAACTGTCTCACTTGTCAACAGGAAAAAGAAAGAAATTTTGGTGGATTACAATTGTCGTAAGTCGAGGATCACCTGTATAGGGTCTCCTGCTTGAGCAGGGGGTTGGACTAGAAAACCTCCAAGGTCCTTATACCCCTGTTATTCTGTATTCTGTTATTTTTTTATAATTGATCCAAAGAGTAGCAAAGGTGGCTGTCTTTGCAATCTGCATGTGGGTTTCTCCCAAGCTATGGCTTGGCCATGCAAAAAAAAAAAAAAAAAGTGGGGGGGTGGCTTGAAGTTTTTTTTAATTATTATTAAAAGTTTTACTATAATATAAATAACAATGAAAACAAGATAACAGAGAAATAGGAGGGAGAGCAAAGGTAAAGAAGTGCAAGGAAAAGAGAAAAGATGGAAAAACGTAGGGACTTCCCCTTTTTTTCAGCGCTGTTAAATACAAGTCACAACCTCAACTTTTTTCTTAACATATTTAGTAAATACTAGCATTTTGTATAACCACAAACTAATCTAATCATCAAAACCCCAAATCTTCTGTTTTGAGCATACAGTCCAGAAGCGGTTTCCAAGTAGAAACAAAGCTGAATACATTCTTTTCTTTAATTAGAATAGTTAACTTTGCCACCTCTGCCAGCTCTATTATTTTTTCCATTGGGTCTTCCGTTGTGGGGATTGATGTATCTTTCCATAGCTCTGGCCTGAATTTCTATCCTGTGTCTATTGCAAAGATTACCCTCAAAACACTCAGGGATTGGTGGCAAAAGACTTTATGGTGCGATCTGCTATGCTAATGCCCTCCCTTTTCTCTGCTTGAAGCACCGAAGATTGTCTCTGTGAAGCGAAAAACAGAAAGCCGAGCTGCTAAGGATACGCTGCCTTGGGAAGCTCTGACTTTGAACAAATGCATTCTGGTGGCAACTTTCCTGGCTCTCCTCAGTGTGAGCTGTCAGGTAGTTCAAGGTAAGAGAGAAGAGCACTTCCCCCTGGATCAAACAAAGCCCTTCCCCCCCACCTTCACACTTCATCTAGGTGCTGCCTCCATTGGAGATCAGGCCTTAAGGTTAAAAGGAAACCTTCTAAGCTGGCAAAGAGAATGTGCAACTGTGTTGAAAGAAAAATCTTTAGGTCCAGTCCAAGCCGGAATAAACAAAATGGAGGCTGTTTGGAAAGAAGGTTCTTTATTGAAAAGCAGAACAGCAACAGCATGTAGTTCTGGGGCAGCTAACAAAATGGAGCCGGGAGTGGTGAGTTTTTTATACCTTCTTGGGCTTTTGTGTTTGGAGTTCCTATGGCATGAACTTTGACCCAAGCCTGAGTGTGCTTTTCTGGTATTCTAATGGTGGTGAGTTAATCCTATTATGTCCTAAAAATCATGTCCTGCTTCTCTGGGGCTGGGGCTGATGACTATGTCCTGTGTTGGATTTTTGGGTGAGGGGTTGCTGGTTCTAATCCTATCACTCACTTGTTAGCTATCAAATTTTGCTCCAAGGGATTTCAAAAGATCCTGTCTTGAATAGGCTTCTGCAGGTAGTATTTGCTCCTGAATGGGGCTTCAGTCTTTCTGAATGGGATGATCAAATCTGCATTTCTGGCCTGTTTAGTTTCTGCTTAGGGCTAAAGAAAAACTGGCCCCCAAATATTTCCTTCTCTGGGAAGGTGGGGGGCTGACTTCCCACAACTGTCTATGGAAATTCTCAATTATCCAAGTCATGGTGGTCCCAAAGATGTTTTTCCAAAAGATGACTGGAAAAACCCCAAGAAAATTTTGGAAAAGCACCTTTGGGACGAGAATGTGTAATGATAGCACAGTTGGGTTTTTGTCTCCTGGTGGAGCTCAGCATTTGTGACCAGACAGATGCAGAAGACCAAGCTCCTATTTGTTGAGCCTGACCCTGAAGTTTCCTCTCTGCCAGATAATCATGAAACTCAAACAGTAAGGCTTGGATCAAAAATCTGGGGCCCTTTTGAGCAGAATGAGGAAGCAACTTTGGGTTTTAAAAATATTTGGAAGGGGAGATATTGAGGAGGAAGTGTCAAATACTTTTTTATTAGCCAGTTCGGTCTAGTGCAGGGGTCTTCAAACTTGGCCCTTTTATGACTTGTGGACTTCAACTTCCAGAATTCCTCAGCCAGCGTGCTTGGCTGAGGAATTCTGGGAGTTGAAGTCCACAAGTCATAAAAGGGCCAGGTTTGAAGACCCCTGGTCTAGTGGTTAAGGCATCAGGCTAAAAAGCAGGAGACCATATTGTTCAAGTCCTGTCTTAGCCATAAAAGCCAACAGTGTGACTTTGGGCCAGTCATTCTCTCTCAGCCCAAAAAAATAGGAGGAGAAAGGTGTGGTGGATATGTTCGCCACCTTGAGTTATTTATAACAATAATAAGGATGAGATAAAAATAAAATAATAATGAATACTTTTTTCTAAGATTTCTTACATTTTGAATTTATCTTTGCATACAGTATTGCAAATAAAGGTAAAAGGTGGTTAACTATCATTCTAACAACTAAAATGATTAGGCTACCCCACCTCCACTGTCTTTGAATCTTCCATCCTCAAGCTTTGGGATACCCCTCCTCACCTCATCTTGACCTCAAGCACCATGCAGGAGCCAGTTTGGCCTAGTGCAGGGGTAGGCAGCCTTGGCTCTTTTATGACTCGTGGACTTCAACTCCCAGAATTCCTGAGCCAGCCATGCTGAGGGGAAAGGGAGAGGTTTCCAAGTTGAGCTATGCTGGCTCAGGAATTCTGGGAGTTGAAGTCCACGAGTCATAAAAGAGCCAAGGTTGCCTATCCTTGGCCTAGTGGTTAAAGCACCAAACTAGAGACCAGGAGAATATGATTTCTAGCCCTGCCTTAGATATGAAAGCCAGCTGGGTGACCTTGGGCCAGTTATTTTATCTCTGCCCAACCCCACCTCACAGGGTTGTTATTGTGGGAAGAATAAGAGGAGGAAGGAATATGAGGTATGTCTGCTGCCTTATTTATAAAAGTAATAAAGACGGGACAAAAGCAAGCACAGAAATATATGCAGAAAAAAATAATGTTGCTATAGGAGCTTGTTCACCATCCCATCTTCTTTACAGAGGCCATAGAATATGGTGGGGCTGTTCTTGAGGCAGAGCTGAGTGCCTGGACCACACAAGAAGACAGTCCTGGGGAACAGGTGAGTTAAAAGTGGGGAAGAGCAAAGGAATCCACAGTAAAACTCATTTCATCAGAAGGCGAAAAAACACATACTTTAAAAACTTAACCTTAGGTTTAAATACAACTGGAATCACTTAAGACCAGAGTCTCCAACCTTTTGGGCACTAGGAACCAGTTATGTGGAGAGAGGTTTTTCTGCGGACCAGAGAGTATGTGGTTTTGTGTGCTCTCTGCACCCCACAGATGGGGCTTTGCTTGTTTGTACGGCCCGGTTGGTGGCATGCCACGGCCCTGTACCAGTCCACGGACCGGGGGTTGGGGACCCCTGGCATAAGAGATTTCCGCTTATCTTGATTCAGGAGAATTGGGTGTTCATTCTTTGTTGAGCTGTTTTGTGATGGGGAGTCTTTGCTTAACATTTTTTTCTCTCTCTCCCTCTTCTTTCCCCCGTATCCTTCAAAGGCAAAGGTAGTCCTGGTGAATGCTGAGGTCTCCCTCTTGGGCCTGTTTTGCCCACTCTCCTGCCCACCTTCAACCACATGTGCTACTGAAGTAACAATGAATTTACACAACCCTCTGTGTTCCAGCAGTAGCGTGTCAGTGCCAAATACAAGTTGTTGCTTTTCACAATCGCTTTCAGATGCTTTTTGAATAGGCAAATTTTCGTAGATTCCCGCTTGTGGCTTTTTCCAAAAACATTGAGCTGGCCACTGTAGGAAACAAGATGCTGGACAAAATGGCTCCAGAGGACTCAACGAGCACGTGAAGAGTCCTGTTTGTATTACCCTTAAGGTTAAACTATCTCAGGCCAGGACTTACGATGAAAACTATTGAATCTTTCCTGTCCTTTCCTTTCCAGGAGGAGCTGTGGTTTTACGAACGGTGGTTTGATTGGTCAGACATGGATGAACCTCCTGAAATAGAGGAGGAGGAACTCCTGGAAGTTGAGGAAGAACTTTTAGAAGTTGAGGAAGAAGAAAAAGAGGACAAGGAGACACCTTTAGAGGATGGAGAAGAAGGGACAGAACCAGTAGAAATCAAAGAGGAAGAGGAAGAAGAAGAGGAGGAAGAAACAGAGGAAGAACCACTCCCAAAGAGGGGCCTCGGGAAAATCCAGGAGAAAATCAAACGAGAAACACCTTCCAAGAGTAAAAGCCAGAAAGACCGCAAAGTTCAGGAGAAAGAAGAAGAGAAGAAGCACCTTCAGGACAGGAGACATCGCTGGGAAGGGAAGGGGAAGGAGAAGCAGCAGGAGGACAGGAAGACCCATCGCCACAAACATGGTGACACAGCCCCTCCACTGAAGGAGCATAAAGAAAAGCATCCCTTGCTGGATAAAAGAAGGGGACCCTCCAAGGATGAGCATGGCAAAGGGAAAGGCCATCTCAAGCACGAGAGGGACCCGAAGGATAGGAAGCCCTGGCAGATTCAGAAGAATTTCTTCCCCTCACCCAAGGAGAGTGCCCAGAGATTTGGGCGGCATAAGTCCCAGGAATTGAAAAGGCATGACTGAGATCCAAGGATTGCCGATTTGATGTCACTGTGGCAAGCAATATGCTGCTCACACATACACTCTCTCTCTCATTCTCTCTCTCTCTCTCTCTCTCTCTCTCTCTCTCTCTCTCTCTCTCTCTCTCTCTCTCTCTCTCTCTCTCTCTCTCTCTCTCTCCTGCACATCCTTTCCCTGAAAGTGTGGGGACACAAAGACATCCAGATTTGAAGCTGGGTGGCTCCTGTTGAGACTAGGCCTCAAGAGGCAGATTTGCCAGAGTTGGAAGCAGAGATGCTTTTTTTGCGCCTTGCCTTATCCTTCCGATAATGGTGGCGCCGGCAATCACAAGTTCTCAGGAGGGGAACAGGAGTCACTTAGCCAGATCAGTCTTTCCTGCTCTGCTGTCCCCTCAGAGTCATTGAAGAACTTCAAAAAAGAACGTCCTTTCTCCATTTGTGCTTTACCTGCCCAGTTATCTCCAAACGAAGCGCTAATGTTGGTTTCACAGCAAAGAGGAAGCCTTAAACCTTTATACTGACCTCAGTCCTTGACTTGGAGGAGCCTCACAAACACGGTGGACTTATTCCCCGATCCCTCATTATATACAGATTTGTAACAGGAATGCGTGAACTGCCTCTCTTGTACACAACTGTGTGTTTTCTTTTCTTTTCTTTTTTGAGCTGATACCAAAGCTGTGTGTTTAAACTGGAATTCCTCATTCAGAAGTCCAACAAAAGAGTCTATATGCTGGAATGGACCTTAGATGATTTTAGCAACTCCCATACCTCGATTAATAGACATCTGAATTTTTTTGGTCACTTTTCGAGAGCAAAGCAAGTCTGCACCTCAGAATTTGCTTCTTGCCTATTTTGTGGGAAAACTGGATTTTTTTCCCCTCTGTTGCACAAAATGAAGCCTATCAATGTGAAGCTAAATCAGCTCTGGTTCTTCCTACGATAAATGTTACCACAGAGAAATTGTAGCAAGTAATCAGCTAGATTGGGGAAAAGTCATGATAATTTCAGAAATAAATGTCAGGTATGAACTTAAATATTTTCATGGTTTAACATAAGGAAGAAATAGGATGCACAGTCCACAATACAGCCCTCGGTATTCCAAGTTGCCTGGGCTATTATTTTGACTTTTTGAGCTACTAAAAGCAAATTGAATGTGAACTAAAACATTTTGTCCAAGAAAATTTGCATTTTTCAGTGGAGAAGAAAAAGCTTGAATTGAGAGGGTTTGTTGCTGGTTTGTATCAACTGAACAAGAAGCATTTTAAGTTACAAGGCAACTGTTGCACGGCCATGAATTGCACTGAGTCATCAAGCTCTTTAAAATTTGGAATTGTACTATACAATTATCAAATTATAACTATGTGTGAGCAGGTTAACACATTGGGATGATTTCACCTGTAGAAAACATCTCCCAATAACATGAAAGTTTTGTTTGATTTAATACCATCAAGACGATTCCCTATGTTTAAAAGCCATTTTTATTTCCCTCTCCCAGTTACTTATCATACTACATGGAAAATTATGGGCAGAAATACGACTCAAAAACACCTCAAGATGTAACAGATCTTAATAATAAAAGTTTGAGCTTGAATCAGATTGCATTTGATCTAGTAATTAAGTCACTAAGCTAGAAACTGGGAGATTGTGAATTCTAGTCCTGCTTTAGGCATGAAAACCAACTGGGTGACTTTAGGTTAGTTACTCTTTCTCAGCCCGACCCATCTCACAGGGTTGTTGTTGTGCAGGGGTCTTCAAACTTGGTCCTTTTATGACTTGTGAACTTCAACTCCCAGAATTCCTCAGCATGCTAGCTGAGGAATTCTGGGAGTTGAAGTCCACAAGTCTTAAAGTTGCCAAGGTTGAGGACTCCTGATCTAGAAGATCTCCAAGATCCCTTAAAGCTCTATTCTGATTCTGAAAGCACCTCCCCCCTGCCACCTTGATGTTCTAGAAAGGATTGGGGGGGGGTCTAGGACAACTTGCTGCAGCCATCTTGCCATGTCCATTGCTGACTTGCCAACCCACCCCAGCCAACTTGCCAAGGCCAACTCACTACGCGACAATTCAACACAGCAGAAGTCAACACGAGATAACTGTATTGTTATCTGTCCCAGTGTCTTTGACATTCTTTTAATTTTTCTCATTCACATTTCATTTTGTCCCTCCATTAGCATCCTTTCTTTAATGATTCTATTCCACCTACAAGAGTTACGCTACTATCAAAGGAATGGTGGAATAGAATTGGCTGTGTCAAGTTGTCTTGCACTGGGATAAGTTGATTGGAGTGAGTTGGCCGGAGTGAGATGGACACTGTGAGACAGCTATGGTGAGTTGTCCCATTCTGGAACTAGGTAGGGTCTATTTTGAGACTAGGAAGGATAATGTCTGAGATGCTTTCACCATTCCCGTTACTGTTTTGTGCTCAAGATTTTGTTCATCAGACTGTTTTCTAGGCTGTGGTTCTTCCTCCTCTCCCAAGGTTATTCTCACAGCCAATTACATTTTTTTAATTTTTATTTATTTATATTCCGTCTTTTATTAATTTTTACAAAAACTGAAGGTGGCAAGCATACCTTCTTCCTCCTATTTTCCCCGACATCAACCACCAGACCAGGAATCGACTCTATGGGAAGGCGAAGATCACTTTTATTGAGATCAAATAATACAATCTTGCAAGCCTGGTTATGCTGCCTCTCCTCCCCTTCTTATACTCATGTGCATTAGGGAGGCTCCTTCTGAGCCTCTTTGGCATTTTTTTTTTTTTGGCTTCTTTTGGATTTATGTTTTTCCCCTTGTAGCTTTAGTAAGATTTTTCCTATCACCATCAAGGTCGTCTTCCTTATTCTCTGCACCTGCCTATTTAATCATAACGATTGTATTTAATTTAAAGAAAATCCAGTTTAGTTTTCTTATTGAACGCAGCAAGAAGTTTTTAATGCAGTCCCCAGAACACTTTTCAAAGTTTATCCCAAAGGGGCTTTTCAAAAGACAATTGGACTTTTCTTTTTTGTTTTTTTTCCCTTGAAAATGTTTTGCTTGTCCTCTAAGAATCTTCTTGGATGAAGAATGAACTGAATGAATGAGGAATGAATTGAAGAAGCTTCTTGGGTTAGAAGTGAAATGTTTTCAAGGGAAAAAAAAAAACAAAGTCCAGTTGCCTTTTGAAAAAGCACTTTTGGGACAACCACGACCTGGATGATTGAAAATCTCCATAGACTTGCAAAGGCTATATTCTTGGCAAGACAAAAGTACTCAACCTGGATCCACCTCCACAGGACTCAAGTAGCAATAAGGCTTTTCCCAAATATGAAGTCTTCTGATGATTTTACCCCCTGTGGAACCCTGAAGGTGGCTGTAGCAATTTTCCCAACCGTGGCAACTTTCAGATATGTGGACTTCAACTCCCAGAATTCCCCAGCCAGCCATGTTGGCTGGGGAATTCTGGGAGTTGAAGTCCACATGTCTGAAAGTTGGTACATTTGAGTAACGTTATGGCAAAGATGATGATGTTAGCTAGTAAAATGCATTTAATAAAAGTTGAACATCACAAGCCATTTTTCAAAAGATATATAAAAGAAATATATAGGGCAGCAAACTCAAAAGTTCATCCGCTAAGAAATGTTAAATATAGTTTGAAATAAGACAAATTATTAACCTTTATTTCTGTCAAGCCCAGGAAAATCATGAAGTCGAGGCAGTTCAATTGAATATAGAGGTTTATTGCAAGCTTATGCTCTCTACAAGAATCTGAACTACTAACAGTCAAAGCAAAGTGGCAGTAGGTAAGAGTCAATGGAATTCAAGGTGGGCTGCACTTAGATCTCTTATGACAGTGGTGGCGAAACTATGGCACGCGTGCCAGAGGCGGCACTCAGAGCCCTCTCTGTGGGCACGCGTGCCATGCCCTGAAAATGGCAACCGTCCCTCTTCAACTAGCTGCCCACTAACTTGCCGAGGTCCCACATGGCCGAATGTATCCCAGCACCCATGTGCTCACTGGCCTCTGTGTGCAGGGGCCGATGGTGTCAGGCAGCAGCCACCCCGGCCCCTACCTCGCCTTGCCTTGCCTCACCCCACAGGACGAGCCTCCTGCCCACCACCCCACCTGCCAGAGACCCGCTGGATCTCCCTCAACCCTGCCCGGCCCCATAGGCATCCCTCCCCACGAGCAACATTGAGGTGATCATGCCCACCTTGGCCATGCCCACCTAATCTGCCATGACCACCACAGCCACGTCCACCCAGTGGGCCATGCCCACCTGGCACCCGTGATAAATAAGTGGGTTTTGGGTTGCAGTTTGAGCACTCGGTCTCTAAAAGGTTCACCATCACTGTCTTAAGAGCACGAAGGGATTTGAGACTGATGACACGTTTAACTCCTTCCTCCGGGGCAGCCTGATCATTTTCTGCCTTATTAAGGCAGCTTTGTTGTGGTGACCCTTTCAAAGCCTATTCAACCTACTGAACAATATATCACCCATCTTAATATCATCAAGTAGAATGCAAGACACTCTAAAATATTTTCAGTTACAGCAGAGAAATGTAACAACAGCCTGAGAATACAACGGAAAAATACTGGAATGTGTTGCAAACATAATTAAGACATAGCAACTGAAATTACAAGCAGCTAAATATAAATATCGGCGAAAAGTAGCTTGGAATAAATAAACTTTCAAAGCTTCTTTTAAAAGGCATGAAAGGAGGAGCCATGTAGGTCTAGGTAGTAAACTTTTCCAAGATCTGAGGTCTCATCTTGTGTTGAATAAGATACATTAGAAAATTTGTTGGGGATTGGACTAGATGACCTCCAAGGTCCTTTCCAACATTATTATTATTATTATTATTATTATTATTATTATTATTATTATTATTATTATTATTATTATTATGTTAGGATAATAAGAGCATATCTGGATAAGCGTCCCAATGCATAGAGAGGGTGAGAAAATGAATGAGGTTTCAATCTCCCTATCATATCATTACGCCACTCCAGAGTAATACGGGCAAATGGTAGTTATTGCTGAAAATGCAACTCTAGAAGTACAGGTGGTCCTCAACTTACAACCATTTGTTTAGTGACCATTTGAAGTTACAACAGCACTGAAAACAAGTGACTTGTGACCATTTTTCACACCGTTGCAGCATCCCCATGGTCACGTGATCAAAATTTGGATGCTTGGCAACTGGCATGTAAGCATCTTTTGCAACTTTCTGACATGCCAAGTCAAGAGGGAAGCCACTTTACTCAAATAACAGTTGCAGTGATTCACTCAACAACTGTGGCAAGAAAGGCAATAAAATAGGGCAAAACTCACTTGACAATTGTCTTATTTAGCAACAGCAATTTGGGGCTCAACTGTGGTTGTAAGTTGAAGACTACCTGTACCAGCATATCACATTTTACCTTCGTGATCACCAGAGGGATTAACAGCAAGCATTAGCCCTTTGTTCCTCTCATTGTCTCATTCCTCTGTTTCCCTAACTGGAAAACTGTTCTATATAGCTGACTTCCTAAAGGAAGAGTACAGGCAGTCCTCGCTTAGTGGCCAGTCATTCAGCGACCATTTGAAGTTATGACGGTGCTGAATGAAGGGACTTAGGCTGGTCCTTGAAGTTGTGGCCATCACAGCTTCCTTATGTTTGGGGCACTTGGCAACCCGCATGCGATTAGGACGGGCAGCTCCCCGCAGTCATCCAATCTCCATTTGCAACCTTACTTGCCTGCTTCAAAGAAGCAAAGTCAACCAGGAAACCAGCAGCAAGTCACAATCCTGTGAGGTCACACTTAGCAACCAAGCACTGATGGCTGAAAACTGCAGCCAGAACTGCTATCTCGTTGATGCAGCCGTAGGAGCTTCCATTTTATGACTGCGCTGAGTTCCCAGTCCCAATTAACCGAGGACCACCTGTAATGAATTTTCTGCTCCTCCCCCACCAGAAGGCCTGAAAACTCAAGAGATTCACGCTTCCTAGTGGGGCACATCTGTTAATAAACATTATTTGCCCCTTTGGACCTTAAACATCCATCTCTAGATCCTCTGAATGGGGGAGCGATAATTCTCACCCTACACTCTACTAATTAGGATTGTCTGCAAATAAACGGGGGGGGGGGTTTCCAACTATCTCTATCATCATAAAAAGCAAGAACAATGTCGCAAGCTTGCTATGTACACAGCTGCAGAAATTTCATTGCTAGAACAGCAATGTACTGTAGTGCTGTTGTTCGAAATTGTACCCCATACTGGCCATGACAGTAGGATGCTATTTAACATCCCATCCTCCATCAGGAGGACTCTCCTGCCCTTCTCTACCTGCACCCACAGGACTCAGCCACCATATCTGGATAGGACTTAACTATCATCCCTCGATCACTGGTAAAGGTAACCATGACACTTTTGGAATATTTCACAGGGACACAGCAAGGGGCTCGCTGCAGTGGCATGCCCTGTTCATGCATACGCAGCAGGAAAATGGTGTGAGAATAATAGTCCGGGATGCGGGTGGAGAGCGGGCTCTGGCAGGGCCCCACGCAATTGTTGGCATTGTACGACTCCGGTAAAACGATATACCTGCTGGAGACCAGGTTTATCCTGAGCTCTCGTAGCCGACAGTAGTCATCCTGGACTTGAGTGCTACGGTTGGCACGTAAGGACACCTTCCTGGCCTCCCGCCAACGAGTGCGAATTACCTGGAGGGCCTTGAGCAACAGAAGGCTGTGGATTTTTCTGCGGGTCTGCGTTTCCTCCGTTTCTGCAGAATCGCTAGCGGGAAGCTTTCCCGAGCCCCTCGAAGGAAAATAGCACAAAGCTAGCAGATTGTGGAAAAGGTCGGCATTGGCTTGGAAGGAAGGCATGGCTTTCAGCTCTTGGATCACCGAATGCAGCTTCTCCAGCAGTTGCCGAAGCAACTTTCCCTCTAGGTACCATTGGCCGAGCTGGCGCTCCATGAAAGCTTGGCTGTTCTCGGGAAAAAGGACCACGAGGTGATTTTCAGACTGCACCAGCCGCTCAAAAGCCACTTTCTCTGACAAGTTGAGCAGTTCGTGAGGAAGGGCCTCCATTGTGTCAAAATCCAGCTGGAGGTGGCCCTGGGCAACAGGAGGCTCACCCGACGGGTTCAGGACTTTGTTGACAAATTGGGAGAGGGTCTCCAAAAAGTATCCAGGGTTTGTGAGCACTGACGCAGTGGCGTTGGTTTGGTTAGTGATGGTGGCAGCCTCAGAAGGTGTGTGGGCTATGCCGGAACTCAGCAAGCTGGTGCAGAGAGAGAAAGATTTTTAAAAATTATTTGGCTATCTCCTTGCTCTGCATATGCCCAACTCATCTCTGCGTTCATGCCTCATGCAGACATTCAAGGATACCAAAGTAAAGTTGCTCATGAATAAGTTAGATTCACGCTCCATGCTAAGCCATAAAACCATGTTTGTTTACTTATCACTGACGACTGACTTTTCTTGGGCTACACTGGGTGGTCTCCCTTCCTTCAATCCCCACAATAAAATCACTGAAATTGATTGGGCTGAAAGAGAGCAACCCATTGAGCTCTGCAGCTGAGACCTGGATTAGAAAGAGGAAAGCCAAGTTCCAATCTCAGACAACCACGGAACTTTTAGCAATTCTATTAGACTGGTTTATAATAATGCCATGTAGGAAAATGTGCCTGCATTTATTTCCTACCAGTTCTTGTTAAACTGAATGGAAGAAATGCAGTGGACTTGCACATACAAATAAGAGGAGTTTCTGAAGGTTCTTATGTCCTGGATGGTTAGTAGAGTTACTGGCACCCAACCCCTCAATTAAATCAAAACCATCCCAAAGGGATCCCTCTCAGGGGACCTTTTTCACTTTGAGAAATGTAGCAGAGAGGTGCTAATGATTATATACAGCAACAGGACTAGCAGTGGCATCATTGGTAATCTCCAGTAGAGCTAGTTTGGTCTAGGGGTTGAAGCATTGCTAGAAACCAGGAGACAGTGAGTTCTAGTCTTACCTGAAGTATGAAAGCTGGATGGGTAATTTTGGGGCAATCACCAGGAGACGGTGAATTCTAGTCCCACCTGAGGCATGAAAGCTGGATGGGTAATTTTAGGGCAATCACCAGGAGATGGTGAGTTCTAGTCCCACCTGAGGCATGAAAGTGGGTTGGATAATTTTGGGGCAATCACCAGGAGACGATGAGTTCTAGTCCCACCTGAGGCATGAAAATGGGTTGGGTAATTTTGGGGCAATCACCAGGAGACGATGAGTTCTAGTCCCACCTGAGGCATGAAAGTGGGTTGGGTAATTTTGGGGCAATCACCAGGAGACGGTGAGTTCTAGTCCCACCTGAGGCATGAAAGTGGGTTGGGTAATTTTGGGTCAATCACCAGGAGACGGTGAGTTCTAGTCCCACCTGAGGTATGAAAGCTGGATGGGTAATTTTAGGGCAATCACCAGGAGACGGTGAGTTCTAGTCCCACCTGAGGCATGAAAGCTGGATGGGTAATTTTGGGGCAATCACCAGGAGACGGTGAGTTCTAGTCCCACCTGAGGCATGAAAGGGGGTTGGGTAATTTTGGGGCAATCACCAGGAGACAGTGAGTTCTAGTCCCACCTGAGGTATGAAAGCTGGATGGGTAATTTTAGGGCAATCACCAGGAGACGGTGAGTTCTAGTCCCACCTGAGGTATGAAAGCTGGATGGGTAATTTTAGGGCAATCACCAGGAGACGGTGAGTTCTAGTCCCACCTGAGGTATGAAAGCTGGATGGGTAATTTTAGGGCAATCACCAGGAGACGGTGAATTCTAGTCCCACCTGAGGCATGAAAGTGGGTTGGGTAATTTTGGGTCAATCACCAGGAGACGGTGAGTTCTAGTCCCACCTGAGGCATGAAAGTGGGTTGGATAATTTTGGGGCAATCACCAGGAGACGATGAGTTCTAGTCCCACCTGAGGCATGAAAGTGGGTTGGGTAATTTTGGGGCAATCACCAGGAGACGATGAGTTCTAGTCCCACCTGAGGCATGAAAGTGGGTTGGGTAATTTTGGGGCAATCACCAGGAGACGGTGAGTTCTAGTCCCACCTGAGGCATGAAAGTGGGTTGGGTAATTTTGGGGCAATCACCAGAAGACGGTGAATTGTAGTCCCACCTGAGGCATGAAAGCTGGATGGGTAATTTTAGGGCAATCACCAGGAGATGGTGAGTTCTAGTCCCACCTGAGGCATGAAAGTGGGTTGGGTAATTTTGGGGCAATCACCAGGAGACGGTGAATTGTAGTCCCACCTGAGGCATGAAAGCTGGATGGGTAATTTTAGGGCAATCACCAGGAGATGGTGAGTTCTAGTCCCACCTGAGGCATGAAAGTGGGTTGGGTAATTTTGGGGCAATCACCAGGAGACGGTGAGTTCTAGTCCCACCTGAGGCATGAAAGTGGGTTGGGTAATTTTGGGGCAATTACCAGGAGACGGTGAGTTCTAGTCCCACCTGAGGCATGAAAGTGGGTTGGGTAATTTTGGGGTAATCACACAGGGACGGTGAGTTCTAATCCCACCTGAGGCATGAAAGCTGGCTAGTTCCTCTCTCTCAGTACAACCCACCTCACAGGATGGTTGTTGTGAGGAAAATAGGAGGAGGAAGGAATATTAGATATATTCACTGCCTTGAGTTATGTATAAAATAATAAAGGGATTAAAAAAATCTAATCATAACTAATTCCGAAGCATAAAGAGAAATGTGAAAGAGATTCTCAAGCATATCAATGGGAAGAAAAGGGAAACAAAGCAGATTTCACAGAAGAAAACATCGAGACAATAATGCAAGATAGCATCCAGCCCAGCTTTGGTTTGCAAACCTCTTGCCCGCAGACCTCAAACATTAAATAAAGAGTAATTAAATGAGTTAATTACATTCACATTAAAGTTATGCGAACATTTTAAAACGGCCATCTTCTTGCAGGAACCCTAAGCAACCAAGTCCACTGGCACATCCTGCTCTTTCAACTTTGCAAAAAAAAAAAATCAAACACGATTTCAGTGTTTTCGGAGGAGATTTTGGAAACAAAGGGTGATGAAACTGAGCATATCTGCTTTTATTTACGTTGCTGCTGCCCTTGGAAGCGACACAATGTTCCCTTCAAGGGTTTCCCAAAGTCCTTATCAGGCTTCTGGGCAGGCTAGATTGGAAGCAATTAAAGAGGCCCACAGGAATCTGAGATCTTTCTCAGAAGTCCAATTTATTTCAGGAAAGTCAAAAAGCCTTTGCAAAAGTGCATAGGAGGTCTTGCTTGAACTTTGCAATAGGCTGGACAGCCCTCTCTTAGGGGCAAGAGGCTTCATTTCTATCTCACAGATAGTCTTCGAGTTATAACCATTCGCTTAGCAACTGTTAAAGTTACAACAGTCCAGACGTATGACCATTCCTCGCGCTTATGGCTATCATAGCATCCCCCACGATCACGTAATCAGAATTTGGGTGCTTGGAAACCAGGATGAATTTACAATGATTGCAGCATCCTGTAATCCTGTAATCACCATTTGCAACCTTCTCACCCGGCTTCTGACAAGCAAGACTAAGGAGGGGGGGAACCAGATTTGCTGAACCACCGTGTGGTTCGCTTAACAATTGCAATGAGCTGCTTAACACCTGTGGCAAAAAAAAAAAAAAAAGATCATAACACCAGGCACAACTGACTTAACAACTGCCTGGCTTAGCAATGGAAATTTTGGTGTCAATTGTGGTTAAGGACTATCTATACCAGGGGTAGGCAACCTTGGCTCTTTTATGATTCGTGGACTTCAACTCCCAGAATTCCTGAGCCAGCATGGCTCAGCTTGGAAACCCTTTCCCCTCAGCATGGCTGGCTCAGGAATTCTGGGAGTTGAAGTCCACGAGTCATAAAAGAGCCAAGATTGCCTACCCCTAATCTATACCAAGGGTCTCCAAACTTGGCAACTTTAAGAGTGAGGAATTCTGAGAGATGAAGTCCACAAGTTTTAAAGTTGCCAAGTTTGGAGATTCCTAATCTATACGATAGAACCTGGCCATTTTAAAATGTAAGCAGATAAGAAGTAACTTCTCTGACCACTATTGGAAATGTGGATGCTGGATTGAATGGAGATTCCATCTCATTCAGCAGAATTTTTTTTTCTCTATTTATCGTGTAGTTGTTTTTCGGACAAAATCAGGTGTAAAAGCCAGTGGTAGAAAATATGCAGGCTGTACAGCCAATTTGACTTGTGTAAGGTACCAGGCTAGGAATCAGGTGACTGCGAGTTCTAGTCCTGCCTTAGCCAGCTGGGTGATTTTGGGCCAATCACTCTTTCTCAGTCTAATTCATCTCAAAGGGCTGTTTGGGGGAAAATCATAGGAAGAAGGAATATCAGATATGTTCTCTGCCTTGAATTATTCATAAAAACAATACAGGCATTAGCCCTTAATTTGTGAGCGCACTGGAGTCTGCCTATTACAGTCGTAAAGCGGTTCATCACATGACCGATTTGATTTTTTGACTTTTTCTTCCTTCAGAACTTTGAAGCTGGGTCATAAGTACTTTTTTTTGGGGGGGAGGATGGTCCATTGTAACTTCGAGCTGTCTCTAAGTGACCAGTCATAAGTTGAGAACTACCTGTAAAGGCGGGTTATAAATAAATTACAAGGAAAAAGCCCACACAATCAAGGAAAACCGCACCCCACTGAGAGAGGCAAATATTGGGAGAGTGGGTGCAATTGTTCTCTCCTACAGGCCTGGGATTTTACCATGTACAGGCGGAGAATGGGGTGCAGAGTTTAGAGGATGCTACCCACCTGGGTTTCAGGTATGGTAAAACATCCAACTTGCCATCCGCAGAGAGGAAAGAGGGTGGATGGGAACCAACGCCGAAGTTCTGCTTCACCAACAGCAAGACAGCCGGGGTCCTGCGGGTGAAGCACTTGGCATCAAAGCCAAACAGAAGATCTTGGGCTTCATCAGAGGAGACAGCGGCATCTGGGAGGCAAGGATACCAAAAAAAAAAAAAAAAGGAACAAGAAAATGACTTATTGGACCAGCAATGAGATTCTCCCTCTATTGTCGTAAATTTCTGAGGCTCGAGAAAAAATGGAAATGAATTAAAAGACCATAAATGTAACCTTGATGTTGTACTTCAGAGTTATCATCTTCCATGTGCTCAAGGCCTTAGTACAGGGGTCCCGAACCCCCGGTCCGTGGACCAGTACCAGGCCACAGCATGCCAGCAATCGGGCCGCACAAGCAAAGCAAAGCCCCATCCACAAGATTCAGGCAGCACACAAAACCACGCCCCCTTCGGTCTGCGGAAAAATGTCTCTCCATGGAACCGGTCCCTGGTGCCCAAAAGGTGGGGATCTCTGCTATAGCAGCTCTCAAATCTTTCATGACAAGTTGAACAAGAAATCAGAAGAAAACACAAAACCTTTTCCAGGAAACTGGTGAGACATTAGTTTGGGGGAAAAGGGGTTACCAAAAAAAGTAGAGATTAACAGGACAACAGACTTTTCTCCAGGAAAAGAAAAAGGAGGAATCTGCACAGAAAACATGAAGACAACAATGAACTGTGTCAACTGCGAGACCTTCTAACATTAACACACTCTGGTGACCTGGATTACTGCAATGTATTTTAGATGGGGCTGCCCTTGAAGGCCACAGGTAGTCCTCAACTTATGAGCATAACCGAGCCCAAAGTGATGTTGTTAAACGAGACATTTGTTAAGTGAGTTTTGCCCCATTTTACAACCTCCAGTTGCTACATTTGTTAAGTAAATCGCTGCAGTTGTTAAGTTAGTAACACAGTTGCTAAGTGAATCTAGCTTCCCCATTGACTTTGCTTATCAGAAGGTTGTAAAGGGGGATCACGTGACCCCGGGACGCTGCAACCGTCCTAAATACGAGTCAGTTGCCAAACATCCAAATGTTTTTTTTTTCTGATGTTAGACCTTTAATTCAAGATAAGAAATAGTTGAAGCAATATATCTAAACAAAGATGGTTACATAATACAAACAGATTATTAAATTGTTTAAACTGATTAAACATTAAAACATTATGCTAATCAGGAATGTTTAAAAATAAAATCCAATTTGCTGTTTGTTGAGAATAGGGGAAGCACTGAATATTTAACTCAGGTGGTCCTCAATTCACAACAGTTCATAAGCATCCAAATGTTGATCACGTGACCTTGGGGGAAATGCTGCAACAGTCATAAGTGTGAAAAACAGTCATGTCACTTTTTTCAGTGCCATTGTTACTTTGAACAGTCATTAAACAAATGGTTGTAAGTTGATGCTACCTGTACTCTGTACTTTGAATGCAGTAGCTCGCTTGATAATGGACGAGAGTAGCTAAAATCAGCAGTATAGCATTACCTTATTATGCTCCAAAATCTTTCCAGAAAATGTAAGTATTGGCAAAATTGGTAATTTAATATATAAATAAATCTGTTTTAAAATTGCAGACATGTCATAATTGGTGAGGTTTTAATTTATACTGGGGAAATCCAGAGTTACACACTAGACCAGGGGTAGGCAACCTTGGCTTTTTTATGACTCGTGGACTTCAACTCCCAGAATTCCTGAGCCAGCATGGCTCAGCTTGGAAACCTCTCCCTTTCCCCTCATCATGGTTGGCTCAGGAATTCTGGGAGTTGAAGTCCACCAGTCATAAAAGAGCCAAGGTTGCCAACCCCTGCACTAGACTGAAAACTTAAATTTCCATATCATGTCAACAAATGATCATGTGACTGTGGGGTAGCAGTGATGGTCATTAAGTTTAGGGACTGGTCATAAGTCACTTTTTTCAGTGATGCTATAACTTTGAGTGGTCACTAAACAAATATTTGCAACTCGAGGACCACCAGTATATAGACACAAGGAAACACGTATGAGAAATGTTATTAAACTACAATTCCCAGCGTTCTTCACTATTGGTCACATAGGGGAAAGGTTGCTGGGAGTTGTAGTTTAGCACTTTTGGAGGTCCACAACGTTCTTGCTTGTGAAACTTGCAAAGGGCTCCATTTTATACCAGAGAAAATCATTGCGTTTTGATCAGTTGTTTAGAATTTGTGTTTTTCTTTTTTCTTAGTTTATAATATAAAATACAAAAATACAGAAGAAGATAATAGGAAAAACAGGGGAGGGAAAAGGGAAGGGAAAAGTGTAGAAAAGAGGGGGAAAAGAAAGAAAAGGCATTGACTTCCAACTCTCTTTGGTGCAGTAGAATAAGATAATAACATCAAACCTCAACTTTTTACTTCTACATAGTAGTATAAACTAGCCAATTCTATAGGAACAAACCTATCTAATTGGTGAAACCCAAAATCAAAGTTTCATTTTTTTTCCATCTCAAGTACAAAGTCCAGAAGTGGTTTTGAAATAGAAACAAAAGTCATTGTGTTTTTTTTTCTTTAAACGAAGTAGTTAGTTTAGCCATCTCTACTAACTCCATCAACTTTTGCAGCCATTTGTCCATTGCGGGAATCATCATCATCATCAAAAGTTGGAAGGTACCTTGGAGGTCATCTAGTCCAACCCCCTGCTCAGGCAGGAAACCCTGTACCACTTCAGACAAATGGCTGTCCAATCTTATGGAAGTGTCCTTCCATAAGGTAGTCTTGCTGCCAACAACATATATAACATTAAAGTTCCAAAAAAAATTTCCAAGTCTTTTTACATTAATCCCAAAAGAAAAGTTTCTGGTTTTATCTTTATATTCACTTTGAGTATCTTCTGTATTAGGATGTGAATCCTATTCCAATATTTACTTGCTTTGTCACATGTCCACCACAAACGATAAAAAGTCCCTTCTTTACATTTGCATTTCCAACATTCATTTGAAATACCTTCATACATTCTTCACAGTTTGTCTGGTGCTAAATACCAGCAATACATCATCTTATAGAAATTTTATTTTAAATTATAATTTAGTGTAAATTTTAAACCTTTCGTCCAGATATACCCCCGTTGTTCAAGAATTACACTATATCTAAAGTTCCTTGCCCACTGGATCATGCAACATTTTACATATTCATTTTCCAAATTCAAATTCAATAACAATTTATAGACCTTAGCAATAATATGTTCATCACTACCATACAGTAGGATTTTCAATTCAATTTTATAATAATAATTAAACAAAAGTTGGAAGGGACCTTGGAGGTCATCTAGTCCAACCCCCTGCTCAGGCAGGAAACCTTATACCATTTCGGACAAATGGCTGTCCAGTCTCTTCTTAAAAACTTCCAGGGTTGGAGCATTCACCACTTCTGGAGGCAGGTTGTTCCACTGGTTAATTGTTCTAACTGTCAGGAAGTTTCTCCTTAGTTCTAGGTTGCTTCTCTCCTTGACTAGTTTTGACAAAGTCAAACCCATAACTCTTTTTGTCTGATTTAAATCTTTCTTTCAATTGTAAAATATGTAAAATATACAGACATGTCCTTTTGATTCTAACTTCTCCTTAGACTTGAGGATAGGATCACTAAAATTAAAGTTTATGATTTGACCATAAGTCCACCAGTCTGGCTTCAGTAGCATTTCTTTTCTTAAAAAAACCTTCCTGGGGAGATACCCAAAGAGGCCTCCTCATAAAAAAAAAACCCTTGTTTTATATTTATTCCAAACTCTTGAAATGGCAAATCTAACAAAGTGGTTATTAAAATCAACATTTACTTTAAGATTTACTTTAAATTTGTGTTTTTCAAATGGAGGAACAGGAGACACCCCCCCCCCTTCCGGGAACTCTCACCTACCTGTATTGTTTTGGTGCCTGATTTCCAAAGAAAGTTCATATCTTAATTCACCCGGAGAATGTCTGCCGGACATCACAGAGCCCTGGAGGACAAGGTAGCGGGTTCCTCTGGAAAGGCAAACAACCTGGGATGGGAAAATTTAAAAAAAATAAACATACACCAACATTCATATATTTGATTGAAGTCCCTCTTCAAAACATTTATTTGCATTCGTGAAATGCAGAAGCTCTCTTGATGCTTCATTCTCAGGTCAAGAATTATTTAATCCTTGCAGCCTGCTAAAAGCTCCTGCACAGCAATTTTAAGATGTGTGGACTTCAAATCTCAGAATTCCCCCTGCCGGCTGGGGAATTCTGGGAATTGAAGTTCATACATCTTTGAGTTGTTGGTATTGAGAAACTTCATCTAGTCCAGTGTTTCTCAACCTTGACAATTTTAAGGCATGTGGACTTCAACTCCCAGAATTCCACAGCCAGCATTGCTGGCTGTGGAATTCTGGGAGATGAAGTCCACATGCCTTAAAATTGTCAAGGTTGAGAAACACTGATCTAGTCCAACACTATACCAACTCTAGAAATGTACTAATTTGTACTAAACAGCTGGCAGTCCAGTTTTCATTTAAAAATCCCAGTGGAGTCCATGTCTCTTTTTTTTTAACACATTTTATTTTTTTAAATTCTTAAGAAAAAGTACTCAGGACCCACTGTGGTGGTTGGGTGGTCAAACATTCAAAAGTAAAGACATATATAAACAACTCAACTCAATACATTTCACTATTCCCTCTCTATTCCATGTCCATGTCTCTTAATGATTGTCTGCTCCAACCACAAGGAACTCCCACCTCCAAACATTCCCTAATGTTCAGACTGAATCTCATTTCTTTAAATTTCACATCCTTGGTTTCAACAGAGAGAAAATTACATGGTGGGAGGGCATTTTATGAAGCGAGGGGGGTGTCAAATCAAGTGTAAATGGTATTTTTAAAAGGTGTGGGGCTTTTCACAATTGTCGACACTATCTTGGGTTCTTTGATGTAGCATTTTTGGGAATTCTGTAGAGTGTCTATCTTAACTTGCCTTAATGTGAACTAAAGAAGCAAAAGAGCTCCTTGAATCATCCATTGTAGGACATCATCACCATCATCATTGCTTTTTAGAAAAATACTTGGTCAACTCAAACATACTTGGCAAACATACTTAATATTCCTGCCCCCTGTTTTTCCCACAACAAGCCTGCAAGGTAGGCTGGGCTCAGAGAGAGCATATTAAGTATGTTCATATTATGAGTTGTTTATAAAAATAAGAAAGCTGGGATATAAGTACTGTAGAGATAGATAAATAAATAAATAGAACTGAGGGCCAGTTGGTATATACTATAGTGATTAAGGCACCAGCCTACAAACCAGGAGATTGTAGTTCTAGTCCTGCCTTAAGCATAGAAACTGGCAGGGTGACTTTGGGCCAATCACCAAAAGACTATGAATTCTAGTCCTGCCTTGGGCGTGAAACTTGGCAGGGTGACTTTGGGCCAATCACCAGGAGACCGGGAATTCTAGTCCTGCCTTAGGCAGAGTGACTTTGGGCCAATCACCAGGAGACCGGGAATTCTAGTCCTGCCTTAGGCAGAGTGACTTTGGGCCAATCACCAGGAGACCGGGAATCCTAGTCCTGCTTTAGGCAGAGTGACTTTGGGCCAATCACCAGGAGACCGGGAATCCTAGTCCTGCCTTAGGCAGAGTGACTTTGGGCCAATCACCAGGAGACCGGGAATCCTAGTCCTGCCTTAGGCAGAGTGACTTTGGGCCAATCACCAGGAGACCGGGAATTCTAGTCCTGCCTTAGGCAGAGTGACTTTGGGCCAATCACCAGGAGACCGGGAATTCTAGTCCTGCCTTAGGCAGAGTGACTTTGGGCCAATCACCAGGAGACCGGGAATCCTAGTCCTGCCTTAGGCAGAGTGACTTTGGGCCAATCACCAGGAGACCGGGAATCCTAGTCCTGCCTTAGGCAGAGTGACTTTGGGCCAATCACCAGGAGACCGGGAATTCTAGTCCTGCCTTAGGCAGAGTGACTTTGGGCCAATCACCAGGAGACCGGGAATCCTAGTCCTGCCTTAGCCAGGGTGACTTTGGGCCAATCACCAAAAGACTATGAATTCTAGTCCTGCCTTAAGCATGAAAGCTGGCAGGGTGACTTTGGGCCAATCACCAAAAGACTGTGAGTTCTAGTCCCGCCTTAGATATGAAAGCCAACTGAGTGACTTTGGGCCAGCCCCTTTCTCTCAGCCCAATCCACCTCACAGGGTTGTAATGGAGAAAATAGGCGTGTTGGATATATTCGCCTTGAGTTATTTGTAAAAATAATACAGGTGGGATATAAATATACAAATAGATAAATATAAGTAAACAAATGTAGTTGAAATTGTGGGACGAATAGATACGTTGATCTCCTCGGAGGAACAAGACCGCATACTGCTGCATAGTTTCCAGAGACCGGTGAGGTCCCACAGATTGGGCCTCCTTCAGGTCCCGTCAGCCAGACAATGTCGGCTGGCGGGCCCTCGGGGAAGGGCCTTTTCTGTGGTGGCTCCGACGTGGTGGAATCAACTTCCCCCCGAGATTCAAACTACTCCCACCTTGCCAGCCTTCAAGAAAGCCATTAAAACTCTCCTGTTCCGGCAGGCCTGGGGTTGATGTCCCGGGGGGGGGGGCGGGATACGATTGGGACATGCTGTGTGAATGTCCTCATTTTTATTGTATATTTATTGTTTTAATTTTGTACGCCGCCCTGAGGGATTGGGCGGCATATAAATTTTATTAATAAATAAATAAATAAATAAATAAGAGCTATTAGGAATAACATGGGGGGGAGGGGGAATTGTCCCACAAACCTGCTTTTGATGTAATCCTTCCCCTCCCACTAGGAATCTCTTTGCGACCCTGGGATGCACCAGTTCCTTTTCTCCTTGATAAAAGACTAGGAGGACCAGCTGCAAGGAGCTGAGAGGCTCTTCCACATCCTTTTGAAAGGTCAGCTTAAACCTGAGTTTGGTCTTGACTTCCCATTTCACTGCCAAAAGAGAAGAAGAAAATAAAATAATAAAAAAATGGGATACAAAGCAAGGACCTCCCATTTCTCTTAAAAATAAGCCATCTGAAGTGCTACCCTGTCTCATATTGTCCAGCTCTCTTCTCTCGCTCTCCTAGTCATCGGAGTTTTGATCCGTCATCTGAGTTCTTCCTTGACTCACGTTTAAATTAATTTTCATCCTTTTATGGTACAGATACTCCTCAACGTTTGACCACAACTGAGACCAGAATGTCCATTGTCAGCAAGGGGGTTGTTAAATGAAGCATGGTTGATTTTACCATCTTTTTTTGCTGTAGCCATTAAGTGAATTACCATGGTCATTAAGCAAATTATGCGCTCGTTAAACAAATCCAGCTTCCCTCCCCCTCTCCCCCCACCAACTTTGCTTATTGGAAGCCAGTTGGGGAAGGTCGCAAATGCTGATGATGTGACCCCTGGACATTGCAAACATTGTAAGCAAATGCCAGTTGCCAAGCACACAAATTTTGATCACATGACCATGAGGATGCAGCAACAGTCATAAGGGTGAGGAATGGTTATAAATCACTTTTTTCAGCACCGGGGTAACTTCTAATGGTTGCTAACTGAATGGTTGTGAGTCAACTGGCTGAATTTTAGAAAATGGAAAACAGTTGAATCAGGAACACCCACAGGGTGTGGCCAGAATTTCAGTCAGACTATACCAGGGGTAGGCAACCTTGGCTCTTTTATGACTCGTGGACTTCAACTCCCAGAATTCCTGAGCCAACCATGCTGAGGGGACAGGGAGAGGTTTCCAAGCTGAGCCATGCTGGCTCAGGAATTCTGGGAGTTGAAGTCCACGAGTCATAAAAGAGCCAAGGTTGCCTACCCCTGGATTATACTGTGACTACCATGTTGGCTTTTTTGACTGTATCCTGCAGATGCCCCTGGCCTCAATACCATTGACCCATGTTTACATCTCAAGGAAAAATGGTATGTTCTGTTAACAAGAGTTAGATGGAGAGGAGCTTTAGCCAGACACTGGTGAATTCACACATTCTATTTGGTGGGCCTGAGGTGGAACAGGATAGATTGTGATTCAGTGCATTGGAGGAATCCAGTCACTGACTTAGTAGATTGTATGAACAAGTCCTCAAAGATGCCATAAAGGTAGTCCTCGACTTACGACCACAACTGAGCCCAACATTTCTGTTGCTAAGTGAGACATTTGTTAATATCTCACTTAGCAACAGAAATGTTGGGCTCAGTTGCGGGAAGAAAGGTCATAAAATGGGGGCAAAGCTCCATTTTGTTAAGAGACATTTATTAATGTCTCGTTTAGCAAAATGGAGTTATGTCCCATTTTATGACCTTTCTTGCCACAGTTGTTAAGTGAATCACAACAGATGTTAAGTTAGTAACAGGGTTGTTAAGTGAATCTGGCTTCCCCATTGACTTTGCTTGTCAGAAGGTCACAAAAGGGCATCAACATAACCCCAGGATACTGCAACTGTCATAAATATGAGTCAGTTGCCAGGCATCTAAATTTTGATCATGTGACCATGGGAGTGCAGCTGTGGTTGTAAATGTGAAAAACAGTCATAAGTCACTTTTTTCAGTGCCATTGTAACTTTGAACAAACAAACAAACTGTTGTAAGTTCAGGACTTTCTGTGATTTGGTGCAGTTGGGGGGGGTTACCTCATATTGTACTGATGTAGCAATTGGATTTGTTAAGTCTATGGCTAGGACCAAGATGTGGAATATGCCAAATAGGTTGAAAGACATAAAATTTCAGGAAGGAGGGCCCGGTGGCCATCTAGTCCACCTCTTTTGTTATGTCCACCTTTTGGAAAAGCAGAGCACCTGTCTGCTCCATCCTACAATGTTTCCTTTTACATTTGCTCATGAGCAGGAGCCTGCATCTTGTGTCATCCAGATTTATAAATATTAAGTATTGCAAAATTTAAAAAAAGGCTTGATTTGCTTAATGCAGGGGTCTTCAAACTTGGCCCTTTTATGATTTGTGGACTTCAACTACCAGAATTCCTCAGCCAGCATGCCTGGCTGAGAAATTCTGGGATCTGAAGTCCACAAGTCATAAAAGGGCCAAGTTTAAAGACCCCTGGCTTAATGCTTTAGCTTAGCAGATGTAATTTGAGGGGTCATTTTCTTTTGTTGGAGGCAATAATTTAAAGTTGCAGCTGAAGCTTTCATTATCATCAGAGTGATTGGGAAGATCTATTCCCCCCCCAATTATTTGCAATAGGTAGAAATGGATATTTATTCTTTGTAATCTCTGCAGCTGATCTCTATTTACTTTCCAGAAGGGCAGCTGATCCTTTCTGAAAAATTTCCCCCCCACCCCAAAAAAAGAGATATGTAGGACAGGAGCAATCCTAAGAAGGATCTGATTTGGACTTCTGAGCAATCAGCATATTTGGTCTGATGAAAAAGACTCCACACCCACAAGAAATCTGCATTTTACACCTTCAAGCTATGTTAGTCCTACTTAAGAGATTGAGCATTTTTTCCTCCTTTTCAAGATTATTTTCTCTTTTCTTAAAAAGTATTTTCCCCTTTTCCTTTGACACCCATCGATACAGGTATTGTCTGCTTGCATATTTATCTCACTGTTGCTGTTACAAAACGATCGGCTTCGATTTAGTGTACTTTAGATTTAAATCTGGTATTCCGTAGAATTGCTGAAGCCAAGGAATGTACACTGGGAGAAGGAAAGGGAAAGGGAGAGGAAGAAGAATTTTAAAAAAGCACCAGATGCTTTACATAAGCACTTTATCATTTTATGCTATTTTTATGCTCTTACTATCGCTTTATACTATTTTATCATTTTATACTATTCATCACTGTTCAAGGCAAACTTCTAAAACTTTATTGATGTTATAGAAAGTCTAAATAAAGCTTCCTAGAAACGAGAACAGAGGGAATAGCAGCAATAACGTAAGCTGTGTCTTTCCACCCCTCCCTGTCGGCACTTACCTTCTTCCAAATGCAGCATGAAGAAACGGTGTCCGGCAGGCCTGCCCAGAGAATCAGCCACACGCTGGAGTGACCCAAGAAGGTTTTGGGGTGGACTTGAGGGACATATCCCGAAAGTCTCCAGGTCCTCTTTGCTCCAGGCAGATCTGCTCAGTGCCTTCAGGAACCCGCTGTCGTAACGGCTGAGGAGGCCCCCCACCTCCAGATGGTTAGGACCCCAAAAGCTGCCCCCATCTAGCTTCACGTGACACACCGATTCCTCTGAGCTCTCGTATAGCCATGACTGAGAACTGGGTTGGGGCCATAAACTCAAGGGTCTTGCCTCCTTCTCAGCCAAGGGCAGGTGGGATGGGCTGTCTTCTGACTCTGGGGAAACCAACACAACTTTTGAAGGGGCTTCCTTGAAATCCAATGTAACCTGGATGTGTTCTTCTTCTTCTTCTTCTGAGGATTTCAGTTCTCCTAAATTGGGACTCTCCCATTGTCTCAGAGGGTTTCCTTCTAGGTGGAGGTTTCCCTTTGCAGGTGAAGAGAGGGACTCAGCTGTCAGCCAGAGACCCAGGAGGATGCTGGCAAGGCCAAGCTGCATGGTTGCTTCCCTGAAGAACTAAAGCCTTCTCCAGGATTCCCCAGAGTAAATTCAGAAGGGAGTGAAGGCATCGGATAACACACACAGGCACACACGCACACACAGACACAAAGAGATGGCCTGAATTTTTCTTCTTTAACCCATGTGACCTTGAATGATCACACCGTCCTGGAAGAATTCTTGTAACAAGCTGGCTCAAAGGAGCCGCCCTATTCTATTTGCAGGTTTTTGATATCTTTTAAGTCTGGATGCTTTAGCAAATGCAAGGCATCCAAGCAAACTCAACCTTGATGTAAACACTTTTTATCATATTTTGCCCCCAAGAGATCAAAGCAAAGCAAAACCCACATTCACACACAATTTGAACCTTTCAGTCTTTACATTGTATCCGAGTTGGCTTATCGTGTTTTTACCCCTTAATATCTTGTATAAAGGCTGTTTTTATCAGCAAAAAGTATTCGTTCCTTTAAATATTTATCGTCTAAATTAATACCTTGAAGTAGGTTAAGAGGTCTGAGAATCAGACACAATTGAACGGGGGAAAAAAAAATTCTTAAGGAGTTAAAGAACGTAAAAGCTACTAAAACAATCTGGGAAAAAAATGGTTGGGAGACATTTTGTTTGTCCTTTAGTGGTAGCCTCCAATACTTTACGGGAAGCTAAGCTGATGGAACTCACTGTTACTAGATGTGCTAATGGCCTTTTCCTTCAGAGCTGCAGATCAAGTTAGCAACTCTTTTTATCCAGAGGCTAAACTTTTTTTTTTTTTTTTTTAAATTTGGCCTCTGAGGATCTCAAGACAATGGGCAATCTATAGTCTTTACTGGAGGAACAGGATAAAAAATTTGGTCCCTTTTTTATGCATTAAGATGGTGGTGGTAATAAAATAAATGCATTTGGCTGAGAAGACATTTTAAGTTGGGAAATAGATATGTGCCCTCAAATAGCCACATCACTGTTACAAAGATCTCCACCCCTTCTAACTAAATGTCACGGTTGATTTTGTAGACCTCCCAACCCCAAAATATTAAGTGCAGCATTTGGCCATTCAAAGATTAGCTATGGGTTCAGTGGACATAGGCCAGGTCCTGCACCTTATTTTAAATGAACGTGGAGAAGATGGCTTTTGCATCACATACACATTAGCCAACCACATTTTAACCTAGCACACTGGGGGAATCCAGGCTGTGCTGGGGTCAAATCTAGAAAATGGATCCCATTTGATAAACTGTGGTGGTTAACCCTGAGTTTGCAAACTGTAGGAAGGCAGCCTTAATCATGCCTTGCTATTGGGAATCTCTCATGGATAGAGATACGGCATTAATGAAATCCTTACCCTGGGAATAGTATTTCTCAACCTCAGCGACATGTGGACTTCAACTCCTATAATTCCCCAGCCAGCCTGGGAATTTCTGGGAATTGAAGTCCACATCTTAAAAGTTGCTGAAACATTACTCTGAAAGAAAGTGAACTAGCCAACACACTTTTTGGTCCAAACCAGCACTAATTTACAAATTGTGGCTTTTGATCGATTGCACAGTATTTGGGTGTATACACATGCACACGGTAGTAGAAATTTATTTCACAGTCAAAGCCAGATCATCCTAGTCTTGCAGTCTCTGCAAGTTTATGTACTACACCTGCCGTATAGCAATACCTATAGTTTAGGTATTGCTCAGCTAATGTTGCATTCTTAGGGCTTTACCATGCAATGTTCCCGAGTGCACTCTTGATTTTTCAAAATGGCAGGAAGTTTGACTTCATCCAATTTTAACCGTGTTTAGTATGTACAATTTGGGTTAGAGGTCATGTGGCTGTAAGTCAAAGGTCTCTGTACCCTCTACTCACCAGAATCTTCATGAAGTTTCTGATTGTTCTTTGACCTCCAAACATTTATCATATAAAAATGTTAATAAATACTTTTAAAGCATTACAAATAATAACAGAGGCAAGGCTGCTCTCACTGGTGGCTGATCATCCAGCCCTGGGTCAGTCTCACTGCTAGCCCCCTCACTTTCAAGGACTGGAGTGGAGGTCTACAGGGACCTCAAAAGATGAATTGACCCCAATCAGCTTTCCATCATTTAGCCACCACATATTGATCCTCCAATATTTACTGACCCCCATTTGACCCCCCCACTTATTGGCCCAAGGATAATTCCATTGGGGTTAATATTGACCACTTTGGGAAATCCGGCTATAAATGGGTGCAATCAGTAATGACTGTTTGCAGATATCAAGGTAGAAGCAAAATCATCATTTAGCAACAATTGGAATAGGCAACTTGGACGTTAAAGGAAATGGCTGCTAAGTGAACCACAATTCGGTTTACAATCTTAATTCAGTTTTTCTTTGCTTTACAGGCCTGCAAATGGCATAAATGTGAGCATTGGTTGCAAGGTTATTTTTTCCCATAATCCTTGTAACAAGCCCCTGAACAAGGTGGTTGCTAAATTAGGACAACTGTATCTCAGTATTTGAACCCCACTGTGCTTTTTCTGCAGCCACAAATTATTTCTATATATAAAAGCAACGTTTCCTTCCTTCCTTCCTTCCTTCCTTCCCTTCCCTTCCATCTGTCCGTCCATCCATCCATCCATGGAATGTCCCCAACTATTAATTCCTGAACAAACTTGAAAACTTGAAAAATTACTTTTACTTCATTTTCAGAATTGTTTTGGCTAACATAAAAAAGAGATTATTGTGGCAAACAGCTCAATGAAAATGTCAACCCATAGGGGCAGCCATGAAAAAAAAACAAAACCAAATTCTATGATAGGGATTGTTATGGAAGGTATAAAAAAAATAACCTACACGAAGAGGGAAGTCAGCATCTGGACCCTGTTTTAGAGAACCTCAATCTTGAGCTACTCTCACTCCTAATTTGTGGAAACTGGTCAAACCAAAGTACTCTGCAGACTATTTGGATTAGTGCCGCCAGGAGTTAGTTTTGTGGGTTTAATGTTTATGCGATTGTGGTGTTAATTGCCAGGAATCCTTGCTGATTACAGCAGTATCCAAAGCAAATGACAAACCAAAAATCCAGCTGTGCTCTTCTAAGATTTCTGGCAACCAGCTTCAGTGAAGCTTGAAGCTGCCTTCTGCATTTGATTAGCTCTGGACACACATCTAAGGCTAACGGCAAGACCAGATAGCAAGAGAAGGAACCAGGATCTTGGTGGTTATTTGTTTCCCACACAGAATTATCTTAAGGAAGCAAACTCTAATGCAAAACAGATTATTTTATTTAAAATAGTCCAGAGCAGCGTTTCTCAAGCTTAGCAACTTTTTAAGGTGAGTGGACTTCAACTTCCACAATTCTCCACACTAGCAGGGGAAATTATGGGACTTGAAGTCCATACCATGTAAAGTTGACAACATTGAGAAACACTGCTCTAGGGATGAATGTTTTGGATCAGTGGTTCTCAACCTTTTTAATGCCGTGACCCCCAACCGGTCGTAAGTCGAGGACTACTCAACCGGTCGTAAGTCGAGGACTACTCAACTGGTGCAGCACCGTTTGCAGAATGGGACTTTTGGCAGGCTCAGCAGGGCAGAGACAGCCTGGACAATTCCGATTGGCTTTTGAAAGCCAATAGAATTAGACTCTATTCAAGAGAGTCTATTCTATTGGCTTTCAAAAGACAATAGAATAAAAAGGAGTAGCACAGCTAAGGAAAAGGGGGAAAAAATGGCGGACTGCGTTGTTTGGCGACCCCCGTGAAATGGTCGTTTGACCCCAAATGGGGTCCCGACCCACAGGTTGAGAACCACTGTTTTGGATTAATATTTCTTCATCAGAAGGGGAGGAACGAAAAGGTCTTTTTAATGAAGCCACAGGATTCTGAACTGAAATCACTGATGTATTTAAAAAATACACAAGGGAAGAAACGAGACAAGATCAACAGGTGCCTTTTTAAAAAAAATGCCAGAGAAAGGACATTTCAACTGGTAGGGGGTGGTGGAGGAATGCTCCCCGGTCCTTCTGTGGGGAGAGGGGGTCTCAGCATCGGGGGCATTGGAGCAGGAGGAGGGACGCCAGGGGCTGGGGGCAACTGGGGTGGACCTGGGGGCAAGGGCCCTGTCGGGGGAGGCATGGGAGGCAGAGCCATGCCCCCAGGAGGAGGAGGGGGGAGAGAATCTGGGAGTGGTGGTCGGGGGGGCAGGCCATTCATGAGAGGGGGCGGGGGAGGCCGCTTCACAGTAGCTGGTGCCGGGATACTTTGAGGAACAGGTGGCTTCTCCATCTTGAAATGAAACTGAAGGAAGAACTAAATGGGAAAAAAAGGGAGGGGAGAATATTAGATTTTACTTGACTGCAAGGATCCAGTTAGAATTCAGGGATAGGCAACCTTGGGTCTTTTATGAGTCATAAAAGAGCCAAGGTTGCCTACCCCTGAGTTAGATCTTCACAAAGGGTTTCTCAAAACCAGGGCTGAGAAAAAGCCACCACAGAAGGTTGCTTGAGTCCTTCTGATCGATTCAATCTGTGATTCCCAAAATTCCTAGCCGGGTGGGAACAATTCTGCCTCCCAACTGATTTGGAGGATATCAAGATATAGGTAATCCTCAACGTATGACTACAATTGAGCCCAATGTTTCTGTTAAGGGAGACATTTATTTTTGCCCCATTGTACGACTTTCTTGCCACTATTGTCAAGCAAATCACTGTACCCAATTAGTTAGTAACCCGGTTATTAAGTCAGTCACACGGTTGTTAAGTGAATCTGGCTCCCCCCCCCCTTGACTTTGCTTGTCAGAAGGTCGCAAAAGGTGATCACGTGACCCCCAGGACACTGCAACCGTCATAAATATGAGTCAGTTGCCGAGCGTTTGAATTCTGATCATATGATCGTGGATATGTTACCAACAAAGGTTGTTAACTGTGAAAAGTGGTCAGAAATCACTTTTTGCAGTGCCACTGTAACTTCAAATAGTCACTAAATGAACCGTTGTAAGTCTAGGGCTACCTGTATTTATATGAGACAGAAATATCCATTATTTCATACATTTTGTTCTAGAGCAGTGATGGCAAGCCTTTTAGAGACCGAGTGCCCAAACTGCAACCCAAAACCCACTTATGCATCGTCGGGTGCCGGGTGGCTGTGGCCCATTGGTTGGGTATGGCCAATTGGGTAGGCGTGGCCCATTGGGTGGATGTGGCCCACTGGGTGGGCATGGCTATGGTGGTAACGGCAGACTGGGTGGGAGTAAAAAGTTCAATCAATCAATTCCAACTTTGCAAGATCTTTTTTTTTTCCACGAGAAGTTGAAATTGACTGATTGATTGAATCTTTTTTTTTTGTACACGGCGGCAGAGGCTTAAAGCGAAAAGGTTTTATAAAACCCAGCTGAAGGCCTAGGACTGGGGCGACGGCGCATGTGTCCACAGAGAGGGCTCTGCATGCCGCCTCTGGCATCCGTGCTATAGGTTCGCCACCACTGCTCTAGAGCTTCTGTCTCTGAGGAAGATAGCTGATCTTTCCCGCTTCCAAAGAACCCACCTCCAAGTATTATGCTACAGAACAGCCATGGGGGTGCTTGTGTCTAAAGGCACCCAGCCTGCCCCTCCTAGAGCTAGGATTAAACAAACTATACTCCAGCAAGGCCATCTTTACTTTTCTAATGATGATGCTAATTAAGTTTTCTGATCTTGACTTACATTTCTTCTCAACAGTGCCTCTGCCAAGGTGAAAGAAGGTTGGTTTTAAAAGGAATTTTCAAACTATGCAGCTCCCCTCGACAGGGGCAGTTGCCAGCTTTTACCTCTTAATCATTTACCTGTTTTGTTTCTCGATTCCAGTGAGTCCAGAATTTGCCTTCAGCTTTGTCAATCTCCCTACTGGGCACCTGCAAGAGAGGAAGAGAAGAGGTTAGGAGCGGTGCCAAGCTGTTGCATCACGGGACATCAAAGGCTGTGTTCAACAGCTTATGAAAGAAGTCAGGCAGTTTGTTGAAAGTGATAATAACAGCAGGAAAAAAAAACCATCATCTTTTTTTTCTATCAAGGCCAAGAGAAAAGAGTTGAACATGCTTTGATTTTACCTCTGTCGAAAGAAGAAAACTCAAGCCATCCTAGTGGAATTGGGGCAATACACCAATATATTCCAGCATAGTGGAATTTCTCCATTATTTGTCTGTCTGTTTGTATCATGCCTTTATTATGCTTATAAATAATTCAAGGCGGTGAACATATCCAACACTTTCCTCCTATTTTCCCCATAACAACAACCTTGTGAGGTAAGTTGGGCTGAGAGTGACTACCCAAAGTCATCCAGCTGGCTTTCGTGGCTAAGGCGGGACTGGAACTCCCAGCCTCCTGGGATAGGACCAAAGTCACTCAGCTGGCTTTCAGGGCTAAAGTGAGACTTTAATTCATTGTTTTGTGCTTTCTATCTTGGAAAGCTGAGGGGAAATTTAGCAGGCCTCAACCCTGCCATCAGTGGCTAAGATTTCCTGTGCAAGCAAGTATTCATTCTCTGCCATCATCTTTAGCAATTAACTTTGCATACCTAAGAAGGAAAAATCAGGATCTTTAAATTAGCCTAATTTGTTTCAAAGACTGGGGTATGACTACTGGTAGGTCCCAGTTTTGTACCAGAACTAATATGCTGCAAACCATCAATACTCACAGGGCTGCACCCAGTGTTTGTGTCTGACACACAGCAGCAGCAGCCAGTACTTGACAATCAAAATAAACTAATGCTATCTCTCATTCGATCCATCCCATCATCAGGAAATGCCTCTTTGAGAAGGGACAAGCAACCAACCAACCAGGGAAGTTTGAGAATCAAATTCTGTTTTCAGGAATTCGATCTCAAGATGCAAACGTTCAAATGAAAATTGCAGAACCATTAGATTTTCATTACAAAGTTCAATAGAAACCGCAATCTTAAGATTTCTGATTTATGTCATTCTCCTTCCGTTCCTTTACAAAACTGAAGGCCCTCAAACCAAATCCCTTCCCAGAAGTACTTAACTTTCCACAATTAAATCTATCCTTCTGAATGTCCCAACAACAGCACAAAAGAGGCTAGACCACGGGTAGGCAACCTTGGGTCTTTTATGACTCGTGGACTTCAACTCCCAGAATTCCTAAGCCAGCAGGGCTGGCTCAGGAATTCTGGGAGTTGAAGTCCACAAGTCATGAAGGGCTAAGGTTGCCTACCCCTGGGCTAGACTAGAACATTACCTTGAAAGCGATTGTCTCATAGGGTTCTGCTGCCATCAAAAGATATTGCCAACGCCGGTCAGGAGGCTCAATTCTCTGCTCATACGCTGACATAAAACGGTGTCTCGGCATGATAGTTTCAGCAATCTCTGGGTAATCGATCTGTGTGGGGCAGAGCCAGAAGAACAGGAAGCTGGAGGGACCATTTAAATCAAACAAATCCAACGACCTGCTCATATGCATAATAGCCGAGGAGCAAAAGGACAGAAAGAGCAGGCCTCTTCTATGCTCAGTTTCACGAATAAATGCTAAATAGTTGAGGTACCAAGAGAAAAGAATATAGTAATAATAATAATAAAGTTGGAAGGGACCTTGGAGGTCATCTCGTCCAACCCCTTGTTCAGGCAAGAAACCCTATACCATTTCAGACAAATGGCTGTCCAGTTTCTTCTTAAAAACTTCCAGTGTTGGCGCATTCACCGCTTCTGGAGGCAGGTTGTTCCACTGGTTAATTGTTCTAACTGTCAGGAAGTTTCTCCTTAGTTCTAGGTTGCTTCTCTCCTTGCTTAGTTTCCACCCATTACTTCTTGTCCTGCCTTCAGGCGCTTTGGAGAATAGCTTGACTCCCTCTTCTCTGTGGCAGCCCCTGAGATATTGGAACACTGCTATCATGTTACTCCTCGTCCTTCTCTTCGTTAAACTAGACATACCCAATTCCAGCAGCCGTTCCTTATATGTTTTAGCCTCCAATCCCCTAATGATCTTTGTTGCTCTTCTCTGCACTCTAGTTTCTAGAGTCCCATCATCTTTTTTACATTGTGGTGACCAAAACTGGATGCAGTATTCCAAGTGTGTCCTTACCAAGGCATTGTAAAGTGGTATTAATATCTGTAGCTCAGGCCTGAACTGTGGGGGTCTCTGGTGCTCACTGAGCTTGGTTGTTCTCCTGCATGACAGAGAAAAATGCATACAGGAGAACAATCAAGCTCAGAGAGCACCAGGGACCCCCAAAGTTGTTGTTTTTTTTTGATGGGCCAAAGACACTTATTGAACTTATTTTTAAAAAAATATACAGGCAGTCCTCAACTTATGACCTTAATGGAGCCTGCCCATCATGATAAGTCTTGATGGTCGTAAACAGGTCAGTCACATAACTGGCCAGATTTTATCACCTTTTTTGCGGCAGTTAAGTGAGTGTGGCAGTTGTTGAATGAACCAATGGTGAACTAGAAGTAAGTGCCAGTTTTTGGCAAAACCATTGTAAACTCAGTCATGTCACCATGGAATGGGGCA